TCAGACTCCACACACTCACTCTGTAGAACAGGGGGAGAACATTCAGACTCCACTCACTCACTCTGTAGAACAGGGGGAGGATATTCAGACTCCACTCACTCACTCTGTAGAACAGGGGGAGAACATTCAGACTCCACACACTCACTCTGTAGAACAGGGGGAGAACATTCAGACTCCACTCACTCACTCTGTAGAACAGGGGGAGGATATTCAGACTCCACACACTCACTCTGTAAAACAGGGGGAGGACATTCAGACTCCACACACTCACTCTGCAGAACAGGGGGAGGACATTCAGACTCCACTCACTCACTCTGCAGAACAGGGGGAGAACATTCAAACACCACACACTCACTCTGTAGAACAGGGGGAGGATATTCAGACTCCACACACTCACTCTGTAGAACAGGGGGAGGACATTCAAACACCACACACTCACTCTGTAGAACAGGGGGAGGATATTCAGACTCCACACACTCACTCTGTAGAACAGGGGGAGAACATTCAGACTCCACACACTCACTCTGCAGAACAGGGGGAGGACATTCAAACACCACACACTCACTCTGCAGAACAGGGGGAGAACATTCAAACACCACACACACACTCTGTAGAACAGGGGGAGAACATTCAAACACCACACACTCACTCTGTAGAACAGGGGGAGAACATTCAGACTCCACACACTCACTCTGTAGAACAGGGGGAGAACATTCAGACTCCACCCACTCACTCTGTAGAACAGGGGGGGAACATTCAGACTCCACACACTCACTCTGTAGAACAGGGGGAGGACATTCAGACTCCACACACTCACTCTGTAGAACAGGGGGAGAACATTCAAACTCCACACACTCACTCTGTAGAACAGGGGGGGAACATTCAGACTCCACACACTCACTCTGTAGAACAGGGGGAGAACATTCAGACTCCACACACTCACTCTGTAGAACAGGGGGAGAACATTCAGACTCCACACACTCACTCTGTAGAACAGGGGGAGAACATTCAGACTCCACACACTCACTCTGTAGAACAGGGGGAGGACATTCAGACTCCACACACTCACTCTGCAGAGCAGGGGGAGGACATTCAGACTCCACACACTCACTCTGTAGAACAGGGGGAGGATATTCAGACTCCACTCACACACTCTGTAGAACAGGGGGAGGACATTCAAACTCCACTCACTCACTCTGTAGAACAGGGGGAGGACATTCATACTCCACACACTCACTCTGTAGAACAGGGGGATAACATTCAGACTCCACACACTCACTCTGTAGAACAGGGGGAGGACATACATACTCCACACACTCACTCTGTAGAACAGGGGGAGAACATTCAGACTCCACACACTCACTTTGTAGAACAGGGGGAGGACATACATACTCCACACACTCACTCTGTAGAACAGGGGGAGAACATTCAGACTCCACACACTCACTCTGTAGAACAGGGGGAGACATTCAGACTCCACACACTCACTCTGTAGGACAGGGGGAGAACATTCAGACTCCACACACTCACTCTGTAGAACAGGGGGAGAACATTCAGACTCCACACACTCACTCTGTAGAACAGGGGGAGGACATTCAGACTCCACACACTCACTCTGTAGGACAGGGGGAGGACATTCAGACTCCACACACTCACTCTGTAGAACAGGGGGAGAACATTCCGACTCCACACACTCACTCTGTAGAACAGGGGGAGGACATTCAAACTCCACTCACTCACTCTGTAGAACAGGGGGAGAACATTCAGACTCCACACACTCACTCTGTAGGACAGGGGGAGGACATTCAGACTCCACTCACTCACTCTGTAGAACAGGGGGAGGACATTCAGACTCCACACACTCACTCTGTAGAACAGGCGGAGGACATTCAGACTCCACACACTCACTCTGTAGAACAGGGGGGGGGGGACATACAGACTCCACACACTCACTCTGTAGAACAGGGGGAAAACATTCAGACTCCACACACTCACTCTGTAGAACAGGGGGAGGACATACACACTCCACACACTCACTCTGTAGGACAGGGGGAGAACATTCAGACTCCACACACTCACTTTGTAGAACAGGGGGAGGACATACACACTCCACACACTCACTCTGTAGGACAGGGGGAGAACATTCAGACTCCACACACTCACTTTGTAGAACAGGGGGAGGACATACACACTCCACACACTCACTCTGTAGAACAGGGGGAGAACATTCAGACTCCACTCACTCACTCTGCAGAACAGGGGGAGAACATTCAGGCTCCACACACTCACTCTGTAGAACAGGGGGAGAACATTCAAACTCCACACACTCACTCTGCAGAACAGGGGAGAACATTCAGACTCCACACACTCACTCTGTAGAACAGGGGGAGAACATTCAAACTCCACACACTCACTCTGCAGAACAGGGGGAGAACATTCAGGCTCCACACACTCACTCTGCAGAACAGGGGGAGAACATTCAGGCTCCACACACTCACTCTGTAGAACAGGGGGAGAACATTCAGGCTCCACACACTCACTCTGTAGAACAGGGGGAGAACATTCAGGCTCCACTCACTCACTCTGTAGAACAGGGGGAGACATTCAGACTCCACTCACTCACTCTGTAGAACAGGGGGAGAACATTCAAACTCCACACACACACTCTGTAGAACAGGGGGAGAACATTCAGACTCCACACACTCACTCTGTAGAACAGGGGGAGAACATTCAAACTCCACACACACACTCTGTAGAACAGGGGGAGAACATTCAGACTCCACACACTCACTCTGTAGAACAGGGGGAGAACATACAGACTCCACTCACCCACCCACTCACGCACTCACCCACCCACCCACTCACCCACCCACTCAGATGTCATGATCAATTACATCTAAGACATTATACTTTGTTTAATTATTATTATTGTTGTTGTATCAGGTAAGGCCCGATAAGCTACGTAGCTCTCTTTCAGAAGCCACCTGGCCACAAGTGACAGCTCAACGGAGCCATTACGTGAGGATTCATAGCGGCAGGCACTCACACACGGCGCGTTGTGTACTCACTCACACACGGGGCGCGTTGTGTACCCACTCACACACGGCGCGTTGTGTACTCACTCACACACGGGGCGCGTTGTGTACCCACACACACGGGGCGCGTTGTGTACCCACACACACACGGGGCGTTGTGTCTCACACACACACGGCGCGTTGTGTACTCACACACACTCACACACGGGGTGCGTTGTGTACCCACACACACACGGGGCGTTGTGTCTCACACACACACGGCGCGTTGTGTACTCACACACACGGGGCGTTGTGTCTCACACTCACGGGGCGTTGTGTCTCACACACACACGGGGCGTTGTGTCTCACACACACACGGGGCGTTGTGTCTCACACACACACGGGGCGTTGTGTACCCACACACACACGGGGCGTTGTGTCTCACACACACACGGCGCGTTGTGTACTCACACACACACGGGGCGTTGTGTCTCACACACACACGGCGCGTTGTGTACTCACACACACACGGGGCGTTGTGTCTCACACACACACACGGCGCGTTGTGTCTCACACACACTCACGGGGCGTTGTGTCTCACACACTCACGGGGCGTTGTGTCTCACACACGCACGGGGCGTTGTGTACCCACACACACACGGGGCGTTGTGTCTCACACACACACACGGCGCGTTGTGTCTCACACACACACACGGGGCGTTGTGTCTCACACACACACACGGGGCGTTGTGTCTCACACACACACACGGCGCGTTGTGTCTCACACACACACACGGGGCGTTGTGTACCCACACACACACGGGGCGTTGTGTCTCACACACTCACGGGGCGTTGTGTCTCACACACACACGGGGCGTTGTGTACCCACACACACACGGGGCGTTGTGTACCAACACACACACACGGGGCGTTGTGTACCCCCCCACACACACACGGGGCGTTGTGTACCCACACACACGGGGCGTTGTGTACCCACACTCACGGGGCGTTGTGTCTCACACACACACGGGACGTTGTGTACTCACACACACACACGGGGCGTTGTGTACCCACACACACGGGGCGTTGTGTACTCACAAACACACGGGGCGTTGTGTACCCACACACACACGGGGCGTTGTGTCTCACACACATACGGGACGTTGTGTACTCACACACACACACGGGGCGTTGTGTACCCACACACACGGGGCGTTGTGTACTCACAAACACACGGCGCGTTGTGTACACACACACACGGGGCGTTGTGTCTCTCACACACACGGGGCGTTGTGTACCCACACACACGGGGCGTTGTGTACACACACACGGGGCGTTGTGTACTCACACGCACACACACACGGCGCGTTGTGTACCCACACACACACAGGGCGTTGTGGGTGTGGGGAGCGGTGGCGCTGCGGTTAGCGCTGCGCTCCGAACCCATCGATCCCGAGTTGGATTCCCCCAGCGACCGTTGATGGCGAATATCTGAACCGGTCCCGGGCTTCACCTAGGTCTACTCGGCCTTAAATAAGTCTGCTACGATCGGAATCAGAAAGACAAAGGTGGCTCGGCATGGTGTTGGCCTTCATCGCTGCTCGCTGACAGTTTCCGTGTGCGCGGTGAGCGCAGCGGTTGGCGCTGCGCCGCCGCGCTCCGAACCCGGCGCGCCCGAGTTGGACTCCTGCTCGCGGTGCCACCACCAGCGTCACCAAGTAAGGATCATCGTCGGAACCGCTCCTGGGGCCTCCATCATCCGAGGTCGACTTGGCCCTGAATGAGCGCCTGATGCGATGCGTTAAAACATCGCCACTGGGCGGGGGGGGGGGGGAGACAAAGGCGGCCGGGCGTGGTGCTGGCCGCCCACCCCCTCGTGTACCAGTGCCGGCCTTCATTGGCGCTACTCGCTAACAGCACTTGCCCCAACAGTCTGTCAAGGCTACACGGGGGTGGGGGGGATCTTTGCCTTTGCGTAGCGCTCACCTCGCAGCCCGCTGCGTGAGCCCAACTCCGACTCCGTCACCTGCACGGGCGAGACGCAGCAGCGCCTGTGCCGATGCCTGTGCCGATGCCTGTGCCGATGCCTGTGCCGATGCCTGTGCCGATGCCTGTGCCGATGCCTGTGCCGATGCCGACTGACGAGACGGCGACGTTAGAAGAGGCGATGACGGCGTGGAATCGACGGTGGCGACGAAGCTGGTGGTGCAATGCTCCTGTTGAATCGACGGTGGCGATGATGGTGGTGACGGTGGTGATGATGATGCCGATGCGATGACGGCGGTGACGATGGTGGTGATGGTGCCGACAATGCGCACTGCTGCAGCGGAGGTGGCGGTGGTGATGGGCTCAGCCTCCTGCACACGCGCCCTGCTGCACTGCTGCACCGCCGTGCCCCACACCACCACCACCTCCCCTCTTCGCATCCCGCCTCTATCTCTCCCTCCCTCGTTCGCCCTCCCTCTCCCCGCTCACATTACATCCTAACCCCCCCCAACTCCCCTTCCCCCCTCATCTCCCTCCCCCCATCTCCCCCCCCATCTCCCCCTCCCCCATCTCCCCCTCCCCCATCACCCCCTCCCCCATCACCCCCCCCATCAACCTCCTTCCGCATCCCCTCTCCTCCCCATCTCCCCCTTATCTCCCTCCCCCCTCCTGCCCATCAACCTCCACCCCCCCCCCCCAACTCCCTCCCTCCCCCTCAACCTCCCTCCGCATCTCCCCATCTCGCCTCCTCCCCATCACCCCCCCCAACTCCCCCCCCCAACTCCCCCCCCCCCCCCATCAACTTCCCCCCATCAACCTCTCCCCACCATCAACTTCCCCCCCCCATCTCCCCCCTCCCCAACTCCCCTCCCCCCATCAACCTCCCCCCATCAACCTCCCCCATCTCCCCATCTCCTTTCCCTCCCCATCTCCCTGCCCCATCAACCTCCCTCACCATCTCACCCCCCCCATCTCCCCTCCCCCCCATCAACCTCCCTCACCATCTCACCCCTCCCCATCTCCCCTCCCCCCCATCAACCTCCCTCACCATCTCACCCCTCCCCATCTCCCCTCCCCCCCATCAACCTCCCTCACCATCTCACCCCCCCCCACCCTCTCTCCTCCCCGCTCCCATTGCGCCCTCTGCGCCATCCACCGCCCTCCTCTCTCCCCCTCCGTCTCCCTGCCAACGTTCTGCCGCAATCGGTTACCGGCTCCCAGACTCTCCCGACTCTCGGAACCGGTAACCGATTGCGAGAGGCGGTTACCAGTTTGGCGACCCCATTCACTCCAGCAGTGAGTCGTGGGCAGGACTCGGCACACGACGAGACGTCTCTTTTATTGAGAAGCCGCCCGCCCCAACGCAGCAACAGACAAACATCGCCCCCCCGCCCCCCCGTGGAGCCTGCCACGCCAAGTACTTTACAGATCATCGGATACCTCCGGCGTAGGTATTCTGATGATTTCCAGGTGGCGTTTAGGGGAGCAGCATCTATGAAAGCCGGCGGGTGGGTGGCTAACACCAAGCCCGGGCCGCCTTTGTCTCTCCCGCCGGTGGTGTTCACTGCACACCGCACCAGGTACTCATTTGGGAGGCCGTTTCAGATGATCGTCAACTTGTGGTTGGTGATGGCCGGGCTTGGAACGGGGGCAGCGGAGCGCAAACCGCTGCACCACCGCTCCCCACAAGGATACACAACATACAAAGACCCCCCGTATAGCCTTAACAGACTGTGGGAATACCAACTTTTCCCCACCGCAAAAAGTCGGCCGGCCAGGTACATGAACACACGACGAGTTTGCTGCGCTGGTGCCCCCACCCCCCCAAAGGGCTGGGGGGTGATGGGGTTCGGGGTTATGGCTGTGCTTGGCCACTACCCCTAATAACCACCGCCACAACGACCACCATCGCCGCCAAAGCTCCCCCGTATAGCCTCATACTGTTTGGGCAAGTCCGTCTATATGGGGCCGTCCATAAATTACGTCACGCACCTAGGGAGGGGGAGGGTGAGACATTTGTGACGATATGACGAAGGGGGGGGGGGGGTGAGAAATGTGACGTCACATCAAAATGCGCAACTTTAAATACATATTGAATTGTTATAACACTAATTTTTATACATTTTCAGTCACTATTTGATTATTTAAATTGACTAAGGTCACCTTTTATTTATTCCCTGAAGGAGCATTTTGCTTCTCCATGGGAGAATGGAGAAGCACACATTTTCTAAATGTTTTTAATGATCTACCAGGTCTTTTCATTTTGGAATGAATATGATCGTTATAATTGTACTCTCCATTTTGCTTCGTTCTACTACAAAGTTTCAAGTATTTTTTTATAGTTATAATTACTTTCAATAATTTATAATTATAAGATAATTTCAATATACTATTCTGAACATCTGCAGTTTTAGTTAGACGTTGAATATTTTCAAGTGAATCTTCAAATAAATGTTTTCTCCTACAACATCAGAGTGCAGCGCTACATTAAATACGCACTACAATAACATGAGTTTAAAGCGATTTGAAGCATGTTTTATTTTTAAAATGTATTTTTTTTGGGGGGGGGAGGGGCAGCTTTGTGACGTCATATATGGGGGGTGACTTTTTGTGACGCCGTGTGACGAGGGGTCAAAAATCGTCCAAAATAGCGTGACGTCATTTATGGACGGCCCCTATGCGGTATAAACTCTGGGTCAGGATGACGCGATGGTCTGTGCGAGACCACGAGTGACCTCACTTGGCGCTGTCTTTGCAGTGCCGTTTGTGTTCGTCTCCTCCAGAGTTAAAACAAATGATAGCAAAAGCAGCTCCCCCCCCCCCCCCCCCCCCCGTTGTATCTGGCACTTTTACCATCCGGAATGTTTCTATTAACCGGCATCGGTCCCCATAGACAAATCTTATGGCGCCACGGTGGCTCGGAGATGTCTTGCCTGCCGGAGGAGCTCGCCATTGGGATGGTGGCGAGACGTTATGGGCCGTCCATAAATGACGTCACGCGATTTTGGACGATTTTTGACCGCCCCCCTCGCCGTCACAAAGTCAGACCCCCCCCCCTCAAATATGACGTTCAAAAGCTCTGCCCCCCCCCCCAAATAAAAAATGCTTCAAATCGCTTTAAACTATTGTCATTGTAGTGCGTATTTAATGTGGCGCTGCACTCTGTTGAAGGAGAAAAAATTACAAGTCTATTTAATTGAGTAGAACGTGTTGTCTATATTTAAAGTTGCGCATTTTGATGTGACGTCACATTTCTCAACCCCCCCCCCCCAGGTGCGTGACGTCATTTATGGACGGCTCCTTAACTCTCCCGCCTGGAATACAAAAGGTGGTGGGGGGTTAATCCCCAGCCTGACGCCCGTTGTGTATTCACGAGTTGTGCGTCTCACTCTCCCCGTGGTCGCGTGAATTTTTCTCCGGATCCTCCGGTTTTCCCCTACACATTTAAAAGCGTGCCTTTAGGTGATTTGGGCTGCTATCAATGTCCACATGATGATAAGCCACTTAGTTGAGCTATTATCATTTGTGGCCAGGTCGCTTCTGGAAAATAACTACATCGCTCAGTGGGCTTTACCTGGTAAAATGAAAAAAAAAACAATTAAACTAGTTTTAGACAAATCTGAGACGAATCTTACCTCATCTGTATTCGGAAAAAATAAATTCCCGACAGCCATCGGGCATCTTGCAGTGCGTGCGCTTCACGTCAGATCCGTTTTGCCAGGGAGCTGTCGCTCACGGCAGTCTGTACGCAACTTCTGATTAGCAACGATTGGCTAACGTACGGTGCGAGAGAAGTTCAACATACACTACACTATACACTACATAATACACTATACACTATTAATACATTGAAAACTAAAGTTCAACATACATACACTACACATTATGCTAACTACACTATAAGCTACTAAATTGAAAACTAATTTATGTACAATTGGTTGTTGCGTTTAGTTTGTTGTCCTTCTCCACACCTCCGATGAGCAACGGTTGGCTACGTACGGTGCCAAAGAAGTTCAACATACAGTACAGTACTACTCTATCCTGTACACTCTAAACGGCCCCAATCAACTTAGTGTGGCTTGTCAGTACCTGATGTAAAAAGAAAATATATAATTTCTTATATCACAGTTACAAAAAAAATGTAGGCTTAAGTTTATTTCTTGAAAAGGTGTATTGTATGTACTTGGACAATTTTCTGAATCATAAGTATGTATATATAACTCGCAGATAACCGGCATATTAAATGAACCAGCAAACTCTCCATTGGATACCGGAGATTTTTGTTGCGATAGTAATAATTTGAACATTTGATTCTTGCAATGATCCGTTACCCAAAATGCAATACGCGAGAATGCAAAACAGGAAGTCGCGGGGAAGTCAGCAGCCGAGCAGTTGTCCCCTAGAGTTCCCAGAGCCTGGGGGTTCCACTCCGGGTTTTATCTCCAACCCACAGAGAGACCTCATCGGAGGGTCGAGACGGACACCAATGCCTGCACATTCTACAAACGACGCGAGGGTCGCCCCTCGATCTACCAACGAACGTTCCCCGCCTCGCGACATTTCGCGTTAACGCAATTGACGAATAAATTATTAATGTAAAACACGAAAAGATAATTATTTTTTTCCCCGTTCACGTGGAAATTCACTTTGGGCACGTTGCAACGGAGACCGATGTAATAATGTGTTGAACTTCTTTCGCACACAAAGTGGCGTCGGTGGTGGTGGTAGTTGTGGTGGTGATTGTGGTGGTGTTTGGTGATGGTGGTGATTGTAGTGGTGGTAGCTGTTGTGGTGTTTGGTGATGGTGGTGTTTGTGGTGATTATGGTGGTGTTTGTGGTGGTGATGGTGTGGGAAGCCGCGGCGCAGTGGTTAGTGCGTTGCGCTATGAACCCGACAGAGTTTGATTCCCGCTCACGGCCTCCCAACCCGACGACCTCCCAAACCAGTACCTGATGCCGTGTCTAGTAAACATCGCCAACTATAGAGACAAAGGCGGTCGGGCGTGGTGCTGTCCACCCACCCCATCGTGTGCTGTGCTGGCCTTCATAGGCGCTGCTACTCGCTAACAGCACTTTCCCCAACAGTCTTGTTCAGGCGACACAGAGGACCTTTGTCTTTTGGTGGCTGTGGTGGCAGTTGTGCTGTTGTTGGCGGAGGTGGCAGTTGTAGTTACAGGGGATAGTGATCATGCACAGCCAGAACTCCGAATCCCATCTCCAACCTCAACCACAACCCCAGATGTCAAGGCGTACCTCGGATGCTATCCCGAACCCCATCACATCAACAGATTTGTACGTAAAGCAAAGCTCCTATCTCCAACGCTGTCCATAGCAATACCCCGATCCCGAATGCTGACACTATTTATATATTCCTCACGAATGCGTATCCCTAACCTTGCCTCTGATCCTACATCTTGAAATTAAATTGCAAAACCCCATCTTCAACCCAAACCCAATGCCTTGCATTAGCCGTGTGTCCAACCCAATCACCTTTGCCCAGTCCCTAACCTCCTCACTCTCTACCCCTAACCCCATCCCCAAATCCCCTCACTCTGCCCATACTCTTATCCCCTAATCCCTTCACTATAACCCTATCCCCTAACCCCGACTCATCAGCAGTAGTCACGGGCTGCTGCTCGTCTTGTGTCCGGGCGGACAGGAGCAGCGATGGCGCTGGAATCTCAAACGCATTGACGGGGCAGGCGAGGGCAGCTGGGACGGGGGCAGTTGGGGTGACGAGGGGCAGCAGGCTCAGGGAACCCAGGGCAACGTGAATTCGCTGGCGGGTAGCGGAGAGCAGTGCGTCATCTCCACATTCTTCATGTACTTACGAGCCTGCACGCACACACACAAACGACACATACACAACCTTATACAACACACATAACACATATAACACAGACTCACACGACACACACGACATGTACACGATACACACAACAAAGATCCCCCCATGTAGCCATTAACAGACTTGTTGGGGAAAAGTGTTGTGAGCGAGTAGCAGGGCCTATGAAGGCCGGCACTGTGGCACACGAGGGGGGTGGCTGGCCAGCACCCACGCCCAGCAGCCTTTGAGGCTGAGTCGACCTTGGGGAGGCCAAGGAACGGTTCAGATAATAATCTTCGCCGGGGTTGGTCTTAAACGGGAATCCAACTCTGGTTGGCAGGTTCGTAGCGCGCTACCGTCCCCCACAAGGGTACAAAGACCAAGATCCCCCGTACAGCCTTTACAGACTGTGAGGGCGAGTGTTTTTAGTGAGCACCTATGAAGGCTGCCACACGAGGGGGTGGGGGTGGCCAGCACCACATTGGGGGAAGGACAACAAACGAACCACAACAAAAAGCAGTTCTAAAGAAATTAGTTTTCAATCTCGAATATTTAAAAGTGCATAGTGCCCAGTGGCTTCCTAATATCGGAAGGAAGAACGTTCCAGACGGCCGCAGAAGCGCATCTGAAAGCGCATGATGTGGTGACCGTGTTTGTTCGGTGGCTAGCCAAAAGTCGCTGCTTCGAGGACTGCTGGCATTCGAGGGATGGTTTATGTTCCTTGACAAGATGAGCAGGGTGTTGTGGGGCTCATTGTGGCAAACACTTTGTGTGTAATGAGTGCCACCTTCTAAAGAATTCCTTCGGCAACCAGAAGCCAATGTAGCTTGTCGAGCACCAGAGAGACATGGTCATATCTCACATATAGCGGGTCTCTGCTGTGTGCATGCTGTGTGCATGTACCCCACTTGCAGTGTGTGTGTGTGCTGTGTGCATGCTGTGTGTGCGTGCTGTGTGCATGCTGTGTGCATGTACCCCACTTGCAGTGTGTGTGTGCGTGCTGTGTGCGTGCTGTGTGCATGCTGTGTGCATGCTGTGTGTGCGTAATGTGTGTGCGTGCTGTGTGCGTGCTGTGTGCGTGTACCCCACTTGCAGTGTGTGTGTGCTGTGTGCGTGCTGTGTGCGTGTGCCCCGCGTGCGTATGCTGTGTGCGTCCCGTGTTGCGTGCGTGCTGTGTGTGCATGCTGTGTGCGTGCTGTCTGCGTGCTGTGTGCGTGCTGTGTGCGTGCTGTCTGCGTGCTGTGTGCGTGCTGTGTGCGTGCTGTGTGCGCGTGTTGTGCGCGTGCTGTGTGCGCGTGCTGTGTGCGTGCTGTGCGCGTGCTGTGTGCGCGTGTTGTGTGCGTGCTGTGTGCGTGCTGAGTGCGTGCTGTGTGTGTGCTGTGTGCGTGTGCTGTATGTGTGCGTGCTTGCTGTGTGTGCGTGCTGCGTGCGTGCTGTGTGTGCGTGCTGTGTGCGTGCTGTCTGCGTGCTGTGTGCGTGCTGTGTGTGCTGTGTGTGTGTGTGCTGTGTGTGCGTGCTGTGTGCGTGCTGTGTGTGCGTGCTGTGTGTGCGTGCTGTGTGTGCGTGCTGTGTGTGCGTGCTGTGTGTGCGTGCTGTGTGCGCGTGCTGTGTGTGTGCTGCGTGCTTGCTGTCTGCGCGCTGTGTGTGCGTGCTGTGTACGCGCGCTGCGTGCGTGCTATGTGTGCGCTGTGTGTGCGTGCTGTCTGTGTGCTGTGTGTGCTGTGTGTGTGTGCTGTGTGCGTGCGTGCTGTGTGTGCGTGCTGTGTGCGTGCTGTGTGCGTGCTGTGTGTGCCCCGTGCGCTCTCTCACCAGGTACATGACCAGCTGCGTCTTCTGCTGTTCCGACAGCTCCTCCCCTGTGGCACAGAGACACACAGCACGGTCACGGGGGAGGCGGCCATAGACTCACGTACCCCCGAGACCCCCTGGCACCCTGAGACCCCGAGACCGCGAGGACTCGCCGGGCGGTGGCGGCACGCTCACCGCTCGTTGCAAGGGGTTCGCAGTTCAATTCCGGCAGGCCGTCCCGGTCATTACCACGGTGCGGTCATCATCAGCGTCATGATCACGATCCACGGGCAGGTAGCCCCATAGTAGTAGGTGGTGTCCCCTGCACATTTCGTCGCTAGTTGTTTCCCACTTTCCTCTCCCTGTCTTGTGCTCAGGCAGAGGCCACGTCTTTCTGGCAACCCCATCTCTCATGATGTCGTTGTCGTCAGGCCATTCGGCGGTGCGGTGGCGAAAACGTGAATTACGATTCTCCCTGCCATCTGCTTCGCGGTGAACGTTACAGATCCTGTGACGTCGTTTGGAAAGAGGAGCGTTGCCACTCTTGTTCGCGTGCCCGCCGGTGTCGCGGTCGAAATTGGCCAATTTGATGAATCGCCGACATGTGTGGGGGAGCGGTGGCGCAGCGGTTAGCGCCCTGGCGCCGACTTCGAGTTCCATTCCCGCCCGCAGAAAAAACATCAATGGCGAACAGTTGAGCAAGTCCTGGGCCTTCTGTAGGACTGGGGAGACAAAGGCGGCCGGGCTGTGGTGCTGGCCACCCACCCCCTGTGTGCCGTTCCAACCTTCATAGGTGCTGCTACTCGCTAACAGCACTTGCCCCAACAGTCTGTTAAGGCTACGCGGGGGGATATCTTTGTCTTGTGTGTGTGCAGGAGTTACCGATGGACCAGGGGTAGCCGGCAGGATGATCGTGGGCGTAGGACTTGAGAAGCGACGCGCACCACTCCTCATCCACGCGGTGTGCACTGTAGACAGTCACTGACAAAGGCAAAGACCCCCTGTATAGCCTCAGGAGACTGTTGGGGCAAGTGCTATTAGCGAGTAGCAGCACCTATGAAAGGTCGGCAAAACACACAAAGGGGGTGGGTGGCCAGCACCATGCCCGGCTGCCTACGTCTCCCCAGTGGCGATGTTATAACACACCACACCAGGTGTTCATTTGAGGCTGAGTCGACCCAGGGGAGGCCTAGCACCAGTTCACAAAAAATCGTCACCGGTGTTGGTGTTGGCCATGAGCAGGAATCAAACTCGGGATGACGGGTTCGTAGCGCAGCGCACTAACCACAATACAACCGCTCCACGCATGCACCACACACACACGCACCACACACACACAGAGCTACACACAGAGTTATACACCAACCACACACAGAGTTACACACACACCATACACACGTCTGTCGAAAACAAACTCCCAACAAGTCACCAGCAGAGCGACCGTGGTGCTGGGAGACCCTTGGTTTATGAACGAACGTTCGGTTTACGTTAATTTTGCATGAGCGCAAATCACAAATTAGAGACAATTTTTGGTAAAATAAAATTGAATTTCCTTCCGGGTTCACAAAATTTCACTCCGGCACGTGCCACGGAATCACCAAACGAGAAGCCACCTGGGAGGCTGCATCATCCGTCTGCTACTGCGAAAATAAAGCTTCGTAGCTCATCAGATTCCTCCTCCAGGGTACATACAGATTCTGATCCGTGACAGGACCACGGTGCCCCTACAGTGCAACAGTAACGCCTCCACATCACTTTTGGCGAGTTCCCTTAAAAGGCTACAAAGTTTTTAATTAATTTTTATTAAATCGTTTTAATATTGAAATTATTGAATTATTATTTTCGTTTTGGGAAAATTTAAATAGGTGTATATTTTTAGGTTACTAGTTGGAATGTTCAAAACGCATCCCTAAATTAATGGGAAAAGCCGTTCCGATTCACGAAATTTCGTTTCACGCGCGTTGTCTCAAGAACGGCACACCTTTTGTAAACCGAGGGATACCGGTACTGGGAGACCCACAGACACGACCAGGGGACCCGTGCGTAACCAGAAGACCCACGCACTCGACCGGAAGAACACCGAGACGGGGATTGGTGTTGGTCTCAAGAGTGGCCGGCATGATGAGCATTGCATTAACTGTGCATCGAGTTCTGTGTGCGAGCTCCTGGACCACAGACTGGTAACGTGGGGCGCCATGGTGGCCAGATGTTAATTACCCCACCTGGTATACATGAGGTCGTGGGTTTGATCCCGACCCTGACAATGCCTGCTGCTGTGTATTTGCAGTGTGCGAGTCTCTCTCCCCGTGGCCGCGTTGAATTTTCTCAGTGTCCTCCGGTTTTTTCCCTCCACATTTATAATCAATGTAACGTGTTCACAGTATTTGGGTGCTACAAATTTCCACATGATAAGCCACTTCGTTGAGCTATCATTTGTGATAGCCAGGTCGCTTATGAAAGAGAGCTACATAGCTGCTAAAGCAAAAATAGTTATTTACGCAGCAAATCCCAGACAGAGTTTGAATAGTGGAAATATTTTTGGGAAGGTGGCCGGGGCATTCCAAGAGGGCAGAGACCCACGAAGCCGAGAGATTCAATGGCACTGCGGTGAGAGATGTGCAGTCTGCGTTCTCCTATAACGTGCTGGTAGTTGCGTTCCTGAGAAACACTGCGTTAAATGGGAAAATCGCGTTATAAATAAATAATATATACAATACAGGGGGCAAAGCACAGTCCGCGATAACACGTGGGATGCATACATAGGGCTGAACAAAGACCGAGGAGCTGTGGGTAGCATCTACAAGCATCCAGCAGCATCCTCGTGTAATGCGGCGCCAAGGCAGCCGTACGACCACTTATTCCTTCTCGCGCCACGGAGTTCCGTTTGCTCCATCGCATTATATCCAATTCGCATCCGCGTTATACATAAAAAACGTGTTCCCTAATACATTAATCGCGTTACATTAAATTAGCATTACGATGAAAACACACGGCGTTACAGGGGAACAGACTGCAGTTGTGAGATTGTTATTGGTTGGTGCTAGGAGATGGCGATGGGAGGCGCCGATTGGGGATGGTGGGAGGAGACGGCTTACCTTCGTTCACTGGGTCTCCCACAGCCAGCCACTGCCTCAGAGACTCCATGCTTTGCTTGGTCACCAATTTGGGATATCTGCACATTGAAGACAAATATCACCGGTCGATCAACAGACCATAGATGGTGAGCACCGATGAAGGCCAGCGCTGAGGGTTGGTGTTGCCAGCCTCCACGCCCTGCCGCCTGTCTCCCCAGCTACACACACAGCTATACACAGCTGCACATACACAGAGGCACACACAGCTATACGCACATGAAGACAAAGATCCCCCCCTATAGCCTTAAGAGACTTTTGGGGCAAGTGCTGTTCGCGAGTATGAAGGCCGGCACAGCACACGAGGGGGTGAGCGGCCAGCACCACTTCTGCTGCTTTATCTTCCCAAGTGCTGATGTTGACACACCGCACCAGGTACTCATTAAAGGCTGAGTCGACCTAGGGGAGGCCCAGGACCGATTCAGATAATCGTCACTGGTGTTGGAAGTGAGCGGGAATCGAACTTACTTGGCCGGGTTCGTAGTGCGTCGCACTAACTGCTGCACAACCGCTCCCCACTCGCACACAAACACACACCCACTTTGGACCATCATTATTGACAACTAAGGTATTTATTCAGTATGTATACTCCTATTTATTGTCGAAGAATATTTTTGGCAGAGGGTGTGTTTATTTCAATTACAATTTTTTTAGTTTAACACGTAGGCTTTCGCGACCCATATCATCCATAATGTAGTTTTTTTTTAGTTAGATCGCGTATACAGATCACTATACATCAATGGGGATTACCTGTACGCAGACAATCATAGGTACTGCTATTTTAGTGCACGCAAACGACAGGAGGTACAAGAACAATGTGCATGCATAATGTACGTTGATTACCATATGAATAACACAACCAGCAATGGATACCCATTGTAATTTATATGCATTCATTAATCCCCTCCCCCCTTCGCACGTGAAGGGCTCAAAAGTGACGTCATCACAGCTATCTCTCTATCCACAAATCTGGCTGCCGCCTGATGAAGCTCGTTGTAATTACTGGCGAAACGTCGTACTCGGATTGTAAATGTTGTGGCTTTGCTCTCCAACACACCGGTGGTGCTGTTACTTGTAACGAATTGGCATGTTCTGTTTAAATGGCAAACCTTACTAATTGGCTGTATTCGGGTAGTGGCGGGTTTAACGACACATTTATATATTTACACGGATCTAACCCAAAAAAAACTATTCTATGGATATTTTTAGTCTATTTGGCATACAGTACAGTACGGATTTCAATTGTGGTGTCTTTTGTTGGTTAACGTGTGCCTGAGCCCCTTATTCAGGCAAGGTGGAAGTGTTGAATGTCGCGCTTTTGGCTGTTGTGGCACTTTCCAAGAACGTCACCCCTCGCGATATTCAAGGGTCTCCTTGCTGTACCTTACTGTACCTTACTGTACCCTGTATAATTTGTGTTAAAAGTTTACTGCTGTACACACAGTGATGAGTACAGTATTTTTTGTAATTTAACGTAACGTAAGTAGAACTTCTTTCACACCGTACGTAGCCAACCGTGCTAGTCGGATGCGCGGGGGAAGGACAACAAACAAAACACAACAAGAAGCAGTTCTAAAGAAATGAGTTTTCAGCTTAATATAGTCGCATAGTGTATAGTAGTGTATAGTATAGTGGGTAGCGCAGTGTATAGTGTCGTACGTGGTGCATAGTGTCGTAAATGTTGAACCTTCTTGGCACCCTAAGTAGCCAACGGGGCTAATCGGAGGTTCAGGGGAAGGACAACAAACTAAACACAACAAAAGGCAGTCTTAAAGATTTGAGTTTTGTCAATCGAGATGATGTAAAGTGTATAGCTCCAGTGGCTTCCTAATATTGGAAGGGGAGAGCGTTCCAGACGACCGCAGAAGCGCATCCGAAAACAGTGACAGTCTTTGTTCGACGGCTAACCAAAACCCGACGCTGCGAGGGTGACCGGAGTTCGCACGGTGATGGTTTATGTTTATTTGACGAGATCAGCAAGGTATTGGTGGTTCATTTGTGTGTAATGAATAACATTGCTGGTATGTCGAGGTTGACGATTGCACGCATTAACAGACAGCTTCACCATGCCCTCCGTTGCCTATGATTCACTCTCGTAGACAAATCACTCTGATTCACGTCGTTTCGATATTCGTCGTCGCACATTTCAGGAACGGATCCCCGATGTAAAATTGGGTATTACCATATAGTTTCTTATTTAGTATCATAATTCTTTTCGTTTTGCGAAAAGTGATGTAAGTGTATTATATTTTTAGGTTCGGAGTAGAGTTGTAATGACTGTTCGAAACACATCGCAATCATTTTTTGTACTAAATGAATGAGATAAGCCATTCCCATTTTTTATAAATGTAGATTTACACCAGCTGCTTGAAGAACGGCATCCCTTTTGTAAACCGAGGGATACCAGAGTGCTGGGAGACCCACGCACACGACCAGGGTCCTGGGAGACCCAGATCCAGGGCTTAAAGTCCCGTTCACAGCACGCTGACCAATGTAAACCCACAAATCATTAAGAGCATTTGGCTGCTATAAACTTCCACGTGATGGTAAGCCACTTTGTTGAGCTTATCGATTGTGATAGAGCCAGGTTGCTTCTAAAAGAAGAGCTATATTGCTATTTAAAGCTTTCGTGACTGCAGGGATTTATCTTCTTGGTTCTTTCGGTAAAGTCACGTAGAAGGGAAATAATAAAATAATACCATTTAAATAAAACATTAAATAAAAATTCTCACGACGTTTCGGCCACAACACAAGCAGCCGTCCTCAGGTGAAGAAACAGAGCTGTCGAAAAGACAGCGTCCCAATCCGACAGCTCTGTTTCTCTTCACCTGAGGACGGCTGCTTGTGTTGTGGCCGAAACGTCGTAAGAATTTTTATTTAATGTTTAATTAAAATTTATTATTTTATTATTTTCCTTCTACGTGACTTTACCGAAAGAACCAAGAAGAGCTATATTGCTCATTGGGCCTTCATCATCTTCATCATGGTAGTAGTGTATAATGTAGTGTAGTGTACAGTGTAGTGTGTAATGTAGTGTATAATAGTGTAGTGTACATCGTAGTGTGTAATGTAGTGTATAATAGTGTAGTGTATAGTGTAGTGTGTAATGTAGTGTATAGTAGTGTAATGTACAGTGTAGTGTGTAAAGTAGTGTATAATAGTGTAGTGTACAGCATAGTGTATAGCGTAGTGTGTAATGTAGTGTATAATAGTGTAGTGTATAGTGTAGTGTGTAATGTAGTGTATAATAGTGTAGTGTATAGTGTAGTGTAGTGTACAGTGTAGTGTATAGTGTAGTGTGTAATGTAGTGTATAATAGTGTAGTGTATAGTGTAGTGTGTAATGTAGTGTATAATAGTGTAGTGTATAGCATAGTGTGTAATGTAGTGTATAATAGTGTAGTGTACAGTGTAGTGTGTAATGTAGTGTATAATAGTGTAGTGTGCAGCGTAGTGTATAGCGTAGTGTGTAATGTAGTGTATAATAGTATAGTGTATAGCGTAGTGTGTAATGTAGTGTATAATAGTGTAGTGTACAGTGTAGTGTGTAATGTAGTGTATAATAGTGTAGTGTACAATGTGGTGTGTAATGTAGTGTATAATAGTGTAGTGTACAGTGTAGTGTGTAATGTAGTGTATAATAGTGTAGTGTACAGCGTAGTGTGTAATGTAGTGTATAATAGTGTAGTGTATAGCGTAGTGTGTAATGTAGTGTATAATAGTGTAGTGTATAGTGTAGTGTGTAATGTAGTGTATAGTAGTGTAGTGTACAGTGTAGTGTGTAAAGTAGTGTATAATAGTGTAGTGTACAGCGTAGTGGATAGCGTAGTGTGTAATGTAGTGTATAATAGTGTAGTGTATAGTGTAGTGTGTAATGTAGTGTATAATAGTGTAGTGTATAGCATAGTGTGTAATGTAGTGTATAATAGTGTAGTGTATAGTGTAGTGTGTAATGTAGTGTATAATAGTGTAGCGTATAGCGTAGTGTGTAATGTAGTGTATAGTAGTGTAGTGTACAGTGTAGTGTGTAAAGTAGTGTATAATAGTCTAGTGTACAGTGTAGTGTGTAATGTAGTGTATAATAGTGTAGTGTACAGTGTAGTGTGTAATGTAGTGTATAATAGTGTAGTGTACAGTGTAGTGTGTAATGTAGTGTATAATAGTGTAGTGCACAGCGTAGTGTATAGCTTAGTGTGTAATGTAGTGTATAATAGTGTCGTGTACAGTGTAGTGTATAGCGTAGTGTGTAATGTAGTGTATAATAGTGTAGTGTACAGTGTAGTGTGTAATGTAGTGTATAATAGTGTAGTGTATAGCGTAGTGTATAACGTAGTGTGTAATGTAGTGTATAATAGTGTAGTGTACAGTGTAGTGTGTAATGTAGTGTATAATAGTGTAGTGTATAGCGTAGTGTATAACGTAGTGTGTAATGTAGTGTATAATAGTGTAGTGTATAGCGTAGTGTGTAATGTAGTGTATAATAGTGTAGTGTACAGTGTAGTGTGTAATGTAGTGTATAATAGTGTAGTGTATAGTGTAGTGTGTAATGTAGTGTATAATAGTCTAGTGTATAGCATAGTGTGTAATGTAGTGTATAATAGTGTAGTGTACAGTGTAGTGTGTAATGTAGTGTATAATAGTGTAGTGTATAGCGTAGTGTATAACGTAGTGTGTAATGTAGTGTATAATAGTGTAGTGTATAGTGTAGTGTATAGTAGTGTAGTGCATCAGCATCATGATCCATGGGGCAGGTAGCCCCGTAGTAGTAGGCGGCGGTGTCCACTGCACATTTCGTTGTTGACACTTTCCTCTCTCTGTCTTGCAGTGCCAATATGTCCTCAAGCAGTGGCCACGTATTTCTGGCAACCTGATCTCTCATGATGTCGTCGTCGTCAAAGCCGTTCCTAGTATAGTAAACATTTAAAAACCCACACTCGGCGCCGAGCGCTTGCAGCTAGCTAAGAATCACGGGCAGAACTGGCTCGGGGGATCCCGGCCACGGCCACGCTGAACCCTCCCTGCACCGCCGTCCATCCCACGGGCCGCCACAAGCGCCCTCTTTGTCCCCGGTGGGGTGCGGCGCTGCCGGTGGCCATCGCTCCCAATTAGCGGCGCTCGATGGGGCGGGCTGCGCTAATTGAACGGACGGGAGAGCGGGCTGCAGGCGGTGACGCGGCAGCCGAATGTTCACGCTCGCGGGTTCGCACTGTGATGTCTCACGCTTCGCTGGGCATCTCTTCCGTGTGTCTCCCAATATCTCAGTGTGTCCCCATGTCTCTGTTTCCCCTGGTCCCTCTGTCCCCAGGTCCCTCTGTCCCCATGTCCCTCTGTCCCCATTTTCCTCTGTCCCCAGGTCCGTGTCCCCACTTTTATGTATGTCATTGTGTCCCCTTGACTGTGTCCCCATGTCCCCACTTCTCAGTGCGTTGCCATGTCCGTGTATCCGCATGTCCCTATGTCCCTGTGTCCCCATGTCTCAGTGAGTCCTAATGTGTCTGCGTCCCCATGTCCCTCTTACCCCATGTCTGAGTGTGTCCTCACTTGCGTGTGCGTTCCCATTTCTGTGTGTCTCCACGTCCCAGTGTGTTCATGTCCCTGTGTCTCTACTTCTCTGTGTGTCCCCATGTTGCTGTGTCCTCACTTTAGGGGGAGGGGATATCCCTCAAATATTGGAGGAAGCAGCCAACTCCTGTGATTGGCTGGCTGATGTGCCATCTATTTAGCAAGCATGGAGAGCGATCCAAAGTATGAAATCCGGCAAAGGTGGCATTTGTGTGCAGGATTCCCTCCAGCGGGAGGCCATAAAAGGTCCTGGAAAAGATTATTCAATATCCCCTTTTTGCCAGAGGTGTAGAGTATTTCAACAGGACCTATATCTCTGCTTTATTGACCTGGTCAATGCCTATGATACCATCAATAGGCCAGGGCTCTGGGTTATTCTTCATGCTTTTGGGGTCACTGACCCTCTCTGCTCACAAGCATTGTGGGCCTTTATGATGGTGGTAAGCAAGCCCGGGTAAAGCTGCTTGGCCAGGATTCGGAGCCATTCCCCGTTCACCTTTGGGTGCGAGAGAGATATCCTCTGGCTCCCACATTATTTAACATCGTTTTGACCACGCAGTTCGAGAAGCCTTCCATGGCTGTACTGGAAGAATCTCCATTTGGAACAGATACAATGGGAGGCTGATCGATGCCCGGGTGCGATGGAGGGATGGCTCTCTATTTGGTCAAACATGTTATGTACGCTGATAATCTGATAATTGCTGCCCACTGAGAAGTTGGAAACTCTTTTATTGAACCTGGAGCATGCCACTAAGAGGTGGGGGGACGTTACTATCAGTCCCACAAAAGCGAAACACCTGCCTGGGTTTGGTATGCCATCACACACTCCAAAAACCATGAGTGATGGGGCGGTTGTGGAGAGAGTGGAGGAGTTTCCATACCTGGGCAGTGTGCTTATGACCAGCTCCGGTTTAATAGCAGAGGTCTCACTCCGAATCAATCGAGCGGCATTATCTTTTCATCAGCTGCATAAGGCTGTATGGAAACTACTTGGTCTGTCGTACCACATGAAGCTCCGGGTCTTCTTGGCCACAGTTACGCCCTGCCTTTCACAATTGATAGCTCAACGAAGTGGCTTATTACGTGGAAATGTAAAGCAGCCAAATACTCTAAATGCATTTCTAAATGCGGAGGGAAATACCAGAGGCCCCGGAGAAAAGTCCACACGACCACGGGGAGAAAATGCAAACTCTAAACAGGTTGTCAGACTCGGGATCGAACTCACGACCTCTTGTATACCAGGCGAGGTAGTTCACATCTCGCCACCATCCCATTGGCGAGCTCCTCCAGGAGACAAGACTGCGTTGGCTGGGTCATGTAGCCTACACGCCCAGCCACCGGATGCCCAAGTATCTTCTGTTTGGCCAGATAGAGGGTGCTAAATGGACATGACAAGGACTGGAGAAGAGATGGAATGATGCGGTGAGGATGTGCAGCAGAGTTGACTTGCCGATGACTGGAACCAGCCTCGTCAAGATCAACCTCCGTTGAGAAGGACGGAACTGGCCAGTTGGAGCCAGTCGCCCTCCACCAACAACAACAACGGAGAACAGAGAAGCAACGCTCACAACAACAAGCGGAGCGCCAGGTGGCTAAAACGCAGTGAGTTGTCACAGTAGGGGGCACAGGTGGTGCATCTGCCAGTCATCTCATTCACAGTCAGTCAACCCATGGCACCAGCTGGCTCAGTCCCGTAACCTCCTGCCACTGAGCTTTCGGCACTTCACATGGCTTAAAAGTGCATCTAGCCTGGCACAAGCGCTGTGGAGACATTACCGCCACTTATTAGCAAAACATTGGCTGCTTTTGTTGTTGTGTGTTGTGTGTTTTGTGTCAGAGTGCCAGGCATGCCCCCCGTGGCCTCACGCACCGGTGCTTGAGAAGCTGGCGGAGTAACTCATTTCCACGGTTGGTGGACGGATCCTCGGGGCTGCGCCAGAGGGAGGAGGGGGGCAGGGAGACAAAAACCGACAAGCCCTTAGCACCAAGTCGGTGAGCAATGTCGAGCATTGGTGGGTCGCATGAGGAGAGAACATGCAACCTCCACTCACTCACTCTGTAGAACAGGAGCAGAGAACATGCAACCTCCACTCACTCACTCTGTAGAACAGGGGCAGAGACATACAACCTCCACTCACTCACTCTGTAGAACAGGGGCAGAGACATACAACCTCCACTCACTCACTCTGTAGAACAGGGGCAGAGAACATGCAACCTCCACTCACTCACTCTGTAGAACAGGAGCAGAGAACATACAACCTCCACTCACTCACTCTGTAGAACAGGGGCAGAGACATACAACCTCCACTCACTCACTCTGTAGAACAGGAGCAGAGAACATGCAACCTCCACTCACTCACTCTGCAGAACAGGAGCAGAGAACATGCAACCTCCACTCACTCACTCTGTAGAACAGGGGCAGAGACATACAACCTCCACTCACTCACTCTGTAGAACAGGAGCAGAGACATACAACCTCCACTCACTCACTCTGTAGAACAGGAGCAGAGACATACAACCTCCACTCACTCACTCTGTAGAACAGGAGCAGAGACATACAACCTCCACTCACTCACTCTGTAGAACAGGAGCAGAGACATACAACCTCCACTCACTCACTCTGTAGAACAGGAGCAGAGAACATGCAACCTCCACTCACTCACTCTGTAGAACAGGAGCAGAGAACATGCAACCTCCACTCACTGTCACTCAGACAAAGGTCACCCATGTAACCTTCAACAGGCTGTTGGGGAAAGTGCTGTTAGCGAGCACCTATTAAGGCCGGCACAGCAACCAAGGGGGTGGGGTGGCCAGCACCATACCCAGCCGCCTTTGTCTCCCCAGTGCTGTTTAAACACCATACTCTAAGGCTGAGTCAACATAGAGAGTGGTTTGGAGCAGCAGTGCGCTAATCGCTGCGCCATCACTCCCAGCACCCCACCCCCTGCTCGCCCCCTCGCACACATTCCCGCAGAACAGGAGGGCGAGCGCAAACCTCCCCCCGGCGGGAATCGAACCGCAGCTGCGTGGCGTGGCCGGTGGTTCCCCCAGAGGGGGTGTTGTAGGTAATCAGTTATAGACCAGGCAGCCTCTGGGAGGTGGTGGTTGCGAAGGCGGTGGGGGAAGGAATGCATTGGCGGCTGTTCACGTGAGAATGCCACACTGCTTTGCACATGAATGGACGGGCAGTGGCGCGTAACCTACACTGTACGTACTAAAGACAAAGATCCCCCGTGTAGCCTTAACAGACTGTTGGGACAAGTGCTGTTAGCGAGTAGAACCTATGAAGGCCGGCACTTTGGCACACAAGAGGGTGGGTGGCCAGCACCACGCCCAACCGCCTTTGTCTCCCCAGTGGCGATGTTTACTACACACCGCACCAGGTACTCAACATGAGGCCGAGTCGACCTAGGGGAGGGTCCAGGACCGTTTCAGATAATCGTCACCGGTGCGGGTGACCCCTCACGCACGCACGGCCACCCAGTTGCAAAGTGAGCGGCTCGCAATGAGAATGTCGCGAGTTCAAATGCAGGTTGAGGTTTGGCTCCGCCCCATCATCCTTTTGGCGTTGATAAAATGAGTACCACTTTGCGGCAGATCAAACAGCAGTTGTCCTATGGATAGACTTGTCCCCGCCATAGGGATGTGGAATTTCCACCAATGATTCAAGACTGAGAACGGGAGATGAGCCCCAATTCATTTTAAAAACCGCAAAAACAAAGATCGCCCATATAGCCTTTACCAGGATGTTGGGGCAAGTGCAGTTAGCGAGCAGCACCTATGAAGATTGACACGCCACACGAGGGGGTGGTGTGGCCAGCACCACGCCTGGCCACCTTTGTCTCCCTTTGTGGCGACGTTTACTACACATCGCACTGGGTACTTAATTAAGGCCGAGTCAACCTAAGGGAGACCCAGGACTGATTAAAAAATCGTCACTGGTGCTGGCCATGAGCGAGAATCGAATTCGGGTCGCCGGGTTCGTAGCGGAGCATACTAGCCGCTACACTACCGCTCTCCACACAAAATTAACCGCTATTTACCATTAAGTGATGTCACCACGGCACCTGTGCCAAGTTTTGTGCACTTTGAGGCCCCCAGGTGCCATGGGTTGACTGACTGAGATGACTGGCTGATGCACCACCTGTGCCCCCTACTGTCAATGGCGGAGAAAGGATTTTCAGGTAGGAGGGGCAATCCCTCCAGCAATGACAAATGATAGGAGTTGTGAGTAAGTAAGGACTTGCCACTTGCTTTTTATTCGACAAGTGTGCGGCGATGGCTCAGCCATCGATCGAGGGTCGAATTCGAACCGAGCGTGATCGGCATCGCGCTCGCTGAAGGTATTTGCCTTCAGGGAAGTCGTGTTCTGTATACGCAACTGCGCACAATTCTGAGTCACTTATAACCGCTTTGCCGTTACTTATTGCCAATTATGGACTCAGGCTATTGTCCTATCATCTCATAGAGTCCCTGGCACGTAATAATATGCTACACAGTGGCAGTTGGGGTTGCAAAATGCCGATTTATCTCTATATATATAAAAGGGTAATTTGTGATTACGTGTGTCTGTTCAAAATGTTTAGCGTACTTCCTGACATGCAACAAACTTGAAATTTTCCACTGTACACCAGGCAAAAATGATAAAAATACACTTTTGTGTTTTTTTTGGGGGGGGAGCTCAATAATGCATATTTTTTTGCACGGCAAGTGAGCTGTGACGTCACATCTGTCATGTGGAAGCGTAACGCATTGTAGTGTAGCGGGTAGCGCTACGCTGCACTACGAACCTGGCGACCCGAGTTCGATTCCTGCTCACGGCCACCACCGGTGACGATTTCGATCGGATCATTGGGGGGGCAAGTGCCACCCCACACCCCACTGGCTCCGCCAGTGCCTACTTTGCCAACTTTGTGTTTTATCCGCCTGGTGTTCTGCTCGTTGTTGTGAGCATCGCTCCTCTGCCTTCCGCTGTTGCTGGAGGGTGACTGCCTCCAACTGCCCAGCAGCATCCTTCATGAGCCTCCTCCTCCACATAGGCCGATGACACACACACGCACAAGCCCACACACGGACAATTGCACTGACGCACATTTAAACACACAATCTTACACATGCATGCACACACAATTAGCCACGCACTGATGCACACGTATACAAACACACACAGACCTAAACAAACTGGAAGATACATACACATTCACAAAGACAAATGTCCCCCGTATAGCCTGAACAGATTGTTGGGGCAGGTGCTGTTAGCGAGCACCTCTGGCCAAGTGCTGTTAACGAGCATCTACGAAGGTCGTCACGGCACACGAGGGGGTGGGTGGCCAGCAGCACCATGCCCGGCCACCTTTGTCTCCCCAATGGCGATGTTTACTACACACCGCACCAGGTACTCTTTTTTGAGGCCGAGTCGACCTAGGGGAGGCCCAGGACCGATTCAGATAATCGTCACCGGTGTTGGGTGTGTGCGGGAATCGAACTCAAGTTGCTGGGTTCGTAGTGGAGTGCGCTCATCACTGCGCCACCAAAAGACAAAGATCCCCCGTGTAGCCTTGACGGACTGTCTGGGCAAGTGCTGTTGGCGAGCAGCACCCATGAAGGCCGGCAATGTGCGGTGGCCAGCACCACACCCGGCCGTGGGTTGCCGGGTTCGCAGCGCAGCACGCTAACAGCTACACTACCATTCCCCACTACACATTCACACACACACACATTAGATTGCAGAATCGCTAAAAGAGAATGTTGGGGCAAAGTGCTGTTGGCGAGCAGCATGCCTGGAAACCTTTCGTGTAAACCGCACGTGCACCGATCGCGTAATATTCGAGGTTACCGAGGCTCTACATATCTAACTTTGACTTCACCGTGGTGTACAAGTTTGTATCATCAGCATATTGATGGCACTTGATGTCATGCGATGAGATGACATGGGCGATCGGAGAGACGTTTGTTGAAAACAGGAATGGCCCGAGGATGGAAGCCTATGGCACTCCAACTAGGCACGGCATAGGCGATGACTGTTTATTGCCCAGCTTGCCGAACTGTGATCGACCACGTAGGCATGACTCAATCCACCCCAGTGCCGTACCCGATACACCGAACCTTGACCTCGGCTGCCTGATGAGTATTTCATGGTCGATGGTGTCGTGGGCCAATCAACACTGTGGTGCACCAGTCATCCATAATCTTGCAGATGTCATCAGTGGTCTTTAGTAGAGCTGTCTCAGTGGCGTGAACTTCCAGTACGCCGACTGCAATGGGTTGAATCTGCCCATCGCAGCGACGTATGGAAGTAACCGCTTCAGACACAGGCGCTCTATGACCTTTGAAATCGTACTCAGGTTTGAGATCGGGCGATAGTTTGCGAGGTAGCCGTGGTATTACCTGCACCATTTTGAACCAGTGTGGGAAACAGCCCCTCACTGAATAAAATATTTGCCAGGTGGACAATCGGCGACGCAAGCACGTCCGAGCATGATTTGAGAATCGATGTAGTCGTGCAATGAACAGACACCTCTGCCACCGAAGTTGGTATCAGGGTCTCGAGTTTAGCATTGGTTCCAGGTTGATCAGACCATGAGAATGTGATGCCTTCAAGTTAGAAACTGCCGTATTGATTGTTACTATTTTATTGGAGAAAAAACGTGGCAAGTGCTATGCACAGATCAGTTGACTAGTTGATGGGTGGTTGGAGTGCAGCAGAACTTTCACGACGCACCACAGAGCACGGGCGTTGTGAGCCGACTCATTAACTTGCAGAGCATAGAACGATCTGCGAGACTCAATAATGAGTCGGTTGGCAGATCTGCAGGCAGCTCTGCAAGCGAGTTTTTGGACAGTTTCAAAACCAGTTTTCTTCCAAAGACGCTCCCAGCTTCCTCCCCATGTCTGCTTCGCAGCCATCGACTCCGGTGACAGCCGGTTGCTGCGCACTTTCCCCGTTTACTTCGCGCTTGTTGTTCGGATGAGGCACGTGTCCATCAAGAACAGCGGCGATGCCATTTGCTCATTGAGCTGCAAACGAATCGACCGTTGGATGCAGGTTTTCGACATGCCGATGATGCCCGGAACTTCTGACGGAAAGCATCGTGGTCCGGTCGTTCCCAGCCTCGGCACGATATCGTTGTGAAGGGTGGGCGAGTACGGCTACCTCTCGTTTTAAGCGGGGGTTGTGTTCTTGAAAAACGGCGCATAACTCGTAATAGCCTCAATTAAGAAAACATTTTCCCATAAGAAATAAAGGAAGTGGTTGAGGTTAGGGAGAGCACGCTATCGAACCTCATTCTTACGTTTACATATTTCACTGGTTAGAGTAACATATATTATATTTATACTAGCATATGCGTATTACAGATAGTAGCAGCCTATTTAAAGAAACAAAATACAAAAATAAAGTCAAACACAAAGGTATGTTGCGCATAGTGAGAACCTTACCAGACATTGGTAGGCAAATGTTGCACAAGACAAAGTTCAAACGGACAAGATCTTCAGAATGGCGAGCGAGGAGGAGACGCTGATGCTGCTGCTGCCCGCGCTTGTGGTGGTTGCCGTACTGCTGCTGCACCTCAGGCAGCAGAGCTGTTCAACTTTGCTGCCCCGACTAACGGGTGAGCTCGCAGCGCGTTCCGTAACACCGTGAGAAAACTCGCTGGAGCGCGTTATTTCAATAATTGTGTGCGCGTAACAAAAATAAGTGTCAGTTAATCTAACGCGCCGTTTCTTAAATCGCGTTACGTAAACGCGCGTAATATGCCAGACGACTGTAATGGTTATTGCCACTTCACATGTCAAGAGGCTGCGATCTGCAATACCCTACGTCTTCATTAACAACGTAGGTCATGGTTACAGAATAAGCGTGATCCGGTATATTTCCCGAGCGACATGCCGCACAGCTAACGTTGCTGTGGGGTTAAACTGTGATTGTACGATAATCTCGGTGCGAGATCTCTGTTGATTTTGCCACGAGAACCGGCACGGTCCGGGACAGTTCAGGTCACTACAGGTGATGTAGCAAAGTTGATCCATGCAGCCTATCAGACCAGAAAGCTGGCAAAAGATTTCCAACAGCGGTCAATAGATGACAGCGATCGTGAGCCACTGCATGCCGCTTCGTTATTTTTACAAGCAGCAGCAACAGCTCGAATGACGCGATTGTTAACTAGTCGCTCAGGACCTTTACGCAGAAAGAGATGTGGGGGTGAGTGAGAGGTAAGGGTGAGTGAGAGGTGAGTGTGAGGTGAGGGTGAGTGAGAGGTGGGGGTGAGTGAGATGTGGGGGTGAGCGAGAGGTGAGTGTGGCGAGAGTCAGTGCGGTGAGCGTGAGGAAGTCACTCACGTGGTGGAGATGATCTCGTCACGCGTTCTCCGAATGAGAATCACGGGGCCCGGGTACCTGGGGACACGCGGGGACACCCGGGGTCATGTGGGGACATGTCCCAATATGGCCAAGGCAAAGACAAGATAGAGACAAGGGCAAGTGTTGTTAGCAAGGCTGAGTTGACCGAGGGGAGACCCAGGATCAGTTCAGATAATCATCGCCGGTGTTGGCCGTGAGGGGGATCTGAACTCGGGTCGCCGGGTTCGCAACGCACATATACACATACATACACATCTACACATACATACACATCTACACATACATACACATCTACACATACATACACATCTACACATATATACACATCTACACATACATACACATCTACACATACATACACATCTACACATATATACACATCTACACATACATACACATATGAACATACTGTTTGGTTCTTTCGGTGAAGTCACGTAGGTATAAAATAAAATAAATCACGACGTTTCGGGCGCAACACAAGCGTCCATCATCAGGTGGGAAAGCGTGGCCTGCTGCTACATGTGCACACGTGTGTATGTGTCTTCGTATAAGTATGTGTGTACGTGCGTGTGTGTGTATACACACATAACACACGTGCACACACGTGCACACACGTGTACACATGTGCAAAAACACAAAGACCCCCCGTAGAGCCTTAACAGTGTTTGGGGGCAAGTGCTGTTTGCGAGTAGCACCTACCTATGAAGGCCGGCAACGGCACACGTCCACACACGCTACTACGGCTGTCAAGCTGTTCATGCTACGAACACAACAGCTTGCTCGTGTGCAGAGCATGCACAGCCCTGCCTGCCGCTGTCGCTCAACGGCTGCACGAGAGCCACGGTGTGATAGGGACATGGCTACCTGCACAGCTGATCTGCGTTGTTGAGGTTCAGGTAGTCACGGACGGTGCGCACCACCAACGAGCCTGGCACACGCACGGACGCACACACGCAGCAGCAACACCACCACCAATAATCACTTACACCAACACAGGGGTACACATACATTCTAGATTTGAAGCTTTCGTGACTGCAAGGATTCATACTCTTAGGTGTTTTCGGTAAAGTCACGTAGATAAAAATAAATAATAATTAATAAAATAATAATAATAATAGAAATAAAATAATAAATCACGACGTTTCAGGCGCAACACAAGCGTCCGTCATCAGGTGGGACAACCACAGCAAGAAACAAATGCTGAAGTGGGCAGACTTCCGACTCTTGGGGCAAGTGCTGTTAGCGAGTAGCACCTATGAAGGTCGGCACAGCACACGAGGGGATGCGTGGCCAGCACCACGCCCGGCCGACTTTGTCTCCCGAGTGTCGGTGTTTACACATTGCATCAGGTACTCATTTGAGGCTGAGTCGACCTAGAGGAGGCCCAGGACCAGTTCAGATAATCGTCACTGGTTTTGGCTGGGAGCGGGAATCGAACCTGGGTCGCCAGGTTCATAGCGCAGCGCGCTAACCGCTACACTACCGCTCCTCACACACACTCGCTCACAATCACACAATAACACGCTCACATTCACACACTCATACTCACACACTAACACCCACATACGCTCACACTCACACACTCTCACCCACATTCACACGCTCACACTCACACACACACGCTCACACTCACACACTTACACCCACACAAGCTCACACTCACACTCACCCACATTCACCCACACACGCTCACACTCACACACACATGCTCACACTCACACATTCACCCACACACGCTCAAACGCTCACACACTCACACCTACACACGCTCACACTCACACACTAACACCCACATTCACACACACACGCTCACACTCACACCCACACACGCTCACACTCACACACTAACACCCACATTCACACACACACGCTCACACTCACACCCACACACGCTCACACTCACACATGCTCACACACACTCTCACCCACATTCACCCACACACGCTCACACTCACACACACACGCTCACATTCACACACTCAAACCCACACACGCTCACACACTAACACCCACACATTCACTCACACTAACACCCACACATTCACACACTAACACCCATACATTCACACACTCACACACTAACACCCACACACAGGTCATGACGTAACAGTGGATGTGAGTAGATGCGGTAAGAGATGCTTTATTTTTTAAAGGTGCGATGAGGTAAGCAAATATCAGACGAGGTACTGGGAGCTGTGACGAGGTGTGACGTGGTGTTGTGAGGTGTGACGTGGTGTGATGAGGTACTGTGAGGTGTGACGAGGTGTGACGAGGTGTGACGAGGTACTGGGAGCTGTGACGAGGTGTGACGTGGTGTTGTGAGGTGTGACGAGGTGTGACGAGGTGTGACGAGGTACTGGGAGCTGTGACGAGGTGTGACGAGGTGTGACGAGGTACTGGGAGCTGTGACGAGGTGTGACGTGGTGTTGTGAGGTGTGACGAGGTGTGACGAGGTACTGGGAGCTGTGACGAGGTGTGACGAGGTGTGACGAGGTACTGTGAGGTGTGACGAGGTGTGACGAGGTGTGACGAGGTACTGGGAGCTGTGACGAGGTGTGACGTGGTGTTGTGAGCTGTGACGAGGTGTGACGAGGTGTGACGAGGTACTGGGAGCTGTGACGAGGTGTGACGAGGTGTGACGAGGTGTGACGAGGTGTGACGAGGTACTGGGAGCTGTGACGAGGTGTGACGAGGTGTGACGAGGTGTGACGAGGTACTGGGAGCTGTGACGAGGTGTGACGAGGTGTGACGAGGTGTGACGAGGTACTGGGAGCTGTGACGAGGTGTGACGTGGTGTTGTGAGGTGTGACGTGGTGTGATGAGGTACTGTGAGGTGTGACGAGGTGTGACGAGGTGTGACGAGCTGTGACGAGGTGTGACGAGGTGTGACGTGGTGTGATAAGGTACTGTGAGGTGTGACGAGGTGTGACGAGGTGTGACGAGGTACTGGGAGCTGTGACGAGGTGTGACGTGGTGTTGTGAGCTGTGACGAGGTGTGGCGAGGTGTGATGAGGTGTGACGAGGTGTTGTGAGGTGTGACGAGGTGTTGTGAGGTGTGACGAGGTGTGACGAGGTGTTGTGAGGTGTGACGAGGTGTTGTGAGGTGTGACGAGGTGTGACGAGGTGTTGTGAGGTGCGGAGACTCACCCCAGCTGCTGGGCATGACCTTGGTGGCCAGGGGCACGATGTCATCAAACGAGGCATCCAGCACAAGCCCACTGACTTCTGGGTAAGACATGGCTGCCCAGGTGGCTGCAGAGGAGAGGGGGGTGGTGGTGGGCACAGCAAAGACAAAGATCCCCCGTGGAGCCTTCAGCAGACTGTAGGGGGGCAAGCGCTGTCCGTAGCGAGCTGCGGCGCCTACGAAGGCTGGCACGGCATTTGTGCGCGTCTGTGTCTATACATACGTGTGCGCGTGTCTGTGTGAGTATGTGTACTTGTGTGTGCTTATGTTTGCTTGTGAGTGTGTGTGCGTATGTGTGCGTCTGTGTGTGTATGTGTGCGTGTCTGTGTGCTTGTGTGTGTGCTTCTGTATGCTTGTGTGTGCTTCTGTATGCTTGTGTGTGCTTCTGTGTGCTTCTGTGTGCTTATGTGTGCTTCTGTGTGCTTCTGTATGCTTATGTGTGTGCATATATTCAATTAACAATCAATTTGGTAAATGGCAGTTTTCGTGGAACGGATTAAAAAAACATTAACAAAGGTACTATGACTGTACTGGGGGATCTTTGTCTGTGTGTGTCTCTCTGTGTGTGTGTCTGTCTGTCTGTCTGTGCGTCGGGTGGCTTAAAATACAAAAAGTTGGCACAAAAGAGTGTACAGCTGGTGCATCTGCCAGTCATCTCAGTCAGCGAACCCACGGAACCCGCGTCTGTCCCGTGACCTTCTGTCAGCAAGCCTTCGACACTTCACATGGCCTCAAAGCGCACCTGGCCTGGCACAGGCGTCGTGGTGACGTCACAGGTAGTCCCCAAGCTACGGCAGTGTTGCGGGTTCTCGAGAACGATCCGTAACCCGAATTTTTCGTATGTAGGACATTGAACAATTTTTCCCCCAAAATCAAGATGAAATCTCATAGCCAGAAATATTTGTGCCTCCCCTACCCAGTTACTCGTTGGCTTTCTCTCAGTTCCGTATTGCGCTGTTGCTATCTCGTACTGTATCGTATCACTGTACTATACGCTCTGCACTTCCTACGATTATTTAATTTAATCGAATATCACCCTAACACTACCCATAATTAAACTAATGGAACATGTACTGTATCAAATGGTTTATGAATACCACAAAACATATTAACTGTTAACAGAAAGCAGTCGCTTCCGAATGTTTGTTTACTGTGCATTAGGCTAGGCCTAGACTTCTCCAATCTCTGTTAGCTGAGACCATAAGCAATCAAAGTGTCAAATAAAGTACGTAAAGTGAATAACTAATGAAATAAACTTAAAATTAAGAAAAATAGCAATAAAAATATGGGAAAAAAATATAATTATGAGCGTAGAAAACAAAAAATGATGCAATGCAGAGTGGCTATACACCACCGCATTGGGGAAGATGCTGGCCTGCCTTACGCTTCGCTGCGCGGTATTCCTCGCCGCACTGCACGATTTTCACTTCCATAACTAATCCAAACATTTCCGCAAATTGACATTTCAGGATTCATGGGAGCATTTCCGTAAGGTCGGATTTCCGTAAGTCGGGTCTTCCGCAAACTAGGGACTTACTCTATTAGTATTGGTATGTGTGTCTGTGTGTTTGTGTGTCTGTGTGTCTTTGTGTACGTGTCTGTGTGTGCGTGTCTGTGCTGACCAGGGAGAGGTAGTGTAGCGGTTTGCGCGCTGCGCAACGAACCTGGTGACCCGAAATCGATTCCCGCTCAAGGCCAACACGAGTGACGATTATCTGAACCGGTTCTTGGGCCTCCTCTAGATCGATTCAGCCTCAAATGAGTACCTGATGCAGTGTGCAAAAACATTGCCTCTGGGGAGACAAAGGCAGCCGGGCGTGGTGCTCGCCACCCACCCCCTCTCGTGTGCCGCGCCAGCCTTCGCTAGCACTTGCCCCACAAGTCTGTTAAGGCTATACGGGGAATCTTTGTCGGTCTGTGTGTATGTGTCTGTGCGTATGTGCGTCTGTGTGCTGACCAGGGAAGCCTCCGATGGACCAGGCGTAGAGTACGATCTGTGTTGGCTGGAAGCCGAGGCGCTCCGTCGCGTACTGCATCACCACGTCCATTGCGTTGGCTTCGGCCTGCGGGAACGGAACGCCCTACACCGCGCCACGTGGCAGCACCACCGCATGAGACCATCACCACCAGCACTAACACCACCAGAACCACTAACACCACAATCAACACCGCCACCAACACCACCAGCACCACTAACACCACTATCATTACCGCCAGCAACACCACCAATACCAATACCCGCCATTCGCCACTAAGTGACGGTGACATCCCCACGGCCCCTGTGCCAGGCCAGCAACACCACTAGGACTACCAGCGCCACTAACACCACCGCCACTGACACCACCACCAGCACCACTAACACCACCACCAGCACCGCTAACACCACCGCCACCAACACCACCGCTACCGCCAGCAGCAACACCAACAGCAGCAACACCGACAGCAGCACCCACACCACCGTCACCACCACGGCCACCGCCGCCACTATCATCATCATCACTACCACCAACATCATCACCACCACCAACAACACCAGCAGCACCACCACCAACATCGTCAACATCACCACTACCACCAACAGCACCCACCACCAGGAGCACCACTAACACCCCTAAAACCACCATCACCACCAACACCACCACCAGCACCGCCACCACCACCAGTACCAACACCACCACCAACACCACCATCACCACCAACACCACCGCCACCACCACCAACACCACCAACGACAAATATCCCCCGTATAGCCTGTAACAGTCCTGTAAGTGAGTATCACTAACGACACCTATGAAGGCCGGCAGGACACGCGACAGGGTGGGTGGCCAACACCACACCCGGCCGCCTTTGTCTCCCAAGTGACGATGTTTACACATCGCACCAGGTGCTCATTTCTGGCTGCATCGATCTAGGGGAAGCCCGGGCCCAGTTCAGATATTCGTCACTGATGTTGGCCTTGAGCGAGAATCAAACCTGGGTCGCCGGGTTCATAGCGCAGCGCGCTAATCACTACGCCACCGCTCCCCACCATCTACATTAGCACCGCCACCATCACCGCCACCACCACCGCCACCACTATCACTACTACGAGGATGCTGAGAGGGGAAAAGGGGACAGAGGGGTGTGTAGAGTCAAGAGGGGTGGGAGTTCAGGGGGACTGCTCGGCTCACCGTGCTGCCTGCGAATCCGGGGTGGTTCCACCCCAGCACGGAGTATCCGGCTGCAAAACAAAGAGGGGATCCTCCACATGGGCTGACACCAACACCAACAGCAGCGGTTTTGTTGCTACAGGATGACTCGTCCCCGCCGTATGAATGAAAGTAGGGGCGCCACGGTGGCTCAGAGATGTTAACTCCCTCACCTGGTATACAGGAGGTCGTGGGTTCGGGCCCGGCCCTATTTGGAGTCTGAGTGTTCTCTTGTCTCTCTCTCTCCCCGTGGGCGTGTGGATTTTACTCCAGGTAATCCGGTTTTTCCCTTCCACATTGAGAATTAACGTGCATTTAGAGTATTTGGCTGCTATACTTTTCCACGTGGTAAGCTGCTTCGTTGAGCTGTTATTACATGTGGCAAGTTCGCTTCTGAAAAAGAGCTATATAGCTCAGTGGGCCTTGCCTGGTACAATATTAGTTTCGTTTTAATTTCCACTACTGGCCTAGGGCCGTTTTGAACTGTTTCCGTTACGTTTCAGGATTAGAATCTTTACGGATCGGAATCAAGAATCTTTATTTAGACTAGAGGAGGCATCCGATGAGCTCTGGAGCTCTTTCCCACAGATGTCTAGTAGCGGTGTAAAACAGAGATAAACTATAAGCTACTTAAACTATTTTTTTTTCAGAAGCGACCTGGCCACATGTAATGATAGTGGCTTATCATCATCGTGTGGAAATTTATAGCAGTAGCCAAATACTCTCTAAACGCATTGACGTTGATTCTAAATGTGGAGGAAAAAAACGGAGGACCCGGAGAAAAATCCACGCAACCATGGGGAGAGAAAGACACCCAAACTCCAAATATACAGCAGCAGGCGTCAGGGTCGGGATCGAACCCATGACCCCCTGCATACCAGGCGAAGGCGTTAACAACTCACCACTGTGGCACCCCAAAAAAGGTAAGCACGTCATGAAATAAAAAGTAGAACAAAAGGTTTGTTATCCGGGCATCCATGGGGAATGGAGGATTCCGGTTCATCAAATATCCCGGTGATCTGAGAGTCTTACACGGTAGTAGTTGTGTACCTGAAGTACACCACGTTGAATTAAATCTTTCGAGACTGCAGGAATTCATATTCCTTGCGTCTTTCGGTAAAGTCACGTCGATAGGTTCGAAGAACACAACAAAAAAACGACTACTTTCTTTGAACCTATCTACGTGACTTTACAGAAAGACCCAAAGAATATTTACACCACGTTATGGGAAAAAAATCACCGTCCGTGATAACACGTGAGATGCGTACGTAAGCAAAATAAAAGCCGAAGGAATGTGGGTAGCATCAACAAGCATCCAGCAGCATCCCGCCTTGGGTGATGATGCAGCCATACAACTGCTTATTAATACTCGCGCACTCAATCGCGTTATATCCAATTCGCACTCGTATGATAAAAACCTGTGTTCCTTAGTACATTCATCGCGTTGTATCAAATTCGCATTATGAAAACACGTGTTATAGGAGAACAAACTGTACGTACAACTTTTTAACTATGATATAAGAAATGAGAAACTATTTTACAGCAGGTACTGACCAGCCAGTTGTAGACAGAATTCTAAGTTGATTGTAGAAAACGCAGCAGGGCAGTTTAGAGTACAGTAGCACAGTAGTACGATACTGTACGTATACACTGCCAGCTTCCTGAAGCTCCCGTTAACAACAACGACAACAACGACGGATCTAGGAGAAGCGCACGGCACAGCAAGATTTTGAGTGGCTGCGAATTTATTTTTCCGGTTACAGCGAAGGAAAAATGTGTCTTGCTGTCTCTATGGGGACCGATGCCGGTTAACGGAAACATTCCGGATGGTCAAAGTACCGGATAAAACCAGGGAGCTTTTTGCTGCGATTTGTTCAATTCTGGAGAGGGGCGCAGTGGAGTCACTCGTGGCCTTACACAGCAAGCGGCGGACGTGCAGGTTCGAATCCTGACCCTGGGCGCCTTTCTAATGTTGAGTTTACACAGCATAGAGACAGCACTTTCCGCAACAGTGTGTTAAGGCTACATGGGGCATCTTTGCCTATGCGAGGCAGATAACGGAGCTTTTTGCTGGATACAAGTCCGACTTTTCGACACTCAATACAAGTTTAACGCAGGCCACCCGTGTGTCGAGGCTGTGCGAGCGGTGTGCGTGCTGGCAGTGTGGAGTTATTGCCATGGAATCTTGCTGTGTTGGCATGCTTCTGCGTTTGTTCGACTGCGTGTTACAACACCTTCCAGTGGCGTAGCCATGACTCCCAGCTCGTAGAATCCAGCGTTCCCTTCGCTGCAGACGACCTGAGCAGACACACACACACACCCACAGAGACAAAGATTACCCGTGTAACCTTCAACCGACTGTTGGGGCAAGTGCTGCGAGTAGTAACAGTGCCTATGAAGGGGGGAACTGTGACACACAAGGGGGTGGGTGGCCGGCACCACGCCCAGCCGCCTGTGAGTGAGAGGGGGCAGCACTTATCAGCGAGTGTAGCTGCTGCCCTGTGAGTGAGAGAGAGGGGGCAGCACTCACCAGCATGTGAGCGTGGTTGCTGCCCTGTGAGTGAATGAGAGGGGGCAGCACTCACCAGCGAGTGTAGCTGCTGCCCTGTGAGTGAGTGAGTGAAGGGGCAGCACTCACCAGCGTGCGAGCGTGGCTGCTGCCCTGTGAGTGAGTGAGAGAGAGGGAGGGCAGCACTCACCAGCGTGTGAGCGTGGCTGCTGCCCTGTGAGTGAGAGAGAGGGGGCAGCACTCACCAGCGTGTGAGCGTGGCTCCTGCCCTGTGAGTGAGTGAAGGGGCAGCACTCACCAGCGTGCGAGCGTGGCTGCTGCCCTGTGAGTGAGTGAGAGGGGGCAGCACTCACCAGCGAGTGAGCGTGGCTGCTGCCCTGTGAGTGAGTGAAGGGGCAGCACTCACCAGCGTGTGAGCGTGGCTGCTGCCCTGTGAGTGAGTGAAGGGGCAGCACTCACCAGCGTGCGAGCGTGGCTGCTGCCCTGTGAGTGAGTGAGAGGGGGCAGCACTCACCAGCGTGTGAGCGTGGCTGCTGCCCTGTGAGTGAGAGAGAGGGGGCAGCACTCACCAGCGTGTGAGCGTGGCTCCTGCCCTGTGAGTGAGTGAAGGGGCAGCACTCACCAGCGTGCGAGCGTGGCTGCTGCCCTGTGAGTGAGTGAAGGGGCAGCACTCACCAGCGAGTGAGCGTGGCTGCTGCCCTGTGAGTGAGTGAAGGGGCAGCACTCACCAGCGTGTGAGCGTGGCTGCTGCCCTGTGAGTGAGTGAGAGGGGGCAGCACTCACCAGCGTGTGAGCGTGGCTCCTGCCCTGTGAGTGAGTGAAGGGGCAGCACTCACCAGCGTGCGAGCGTGGCTGCTGCCCTGTGAGTGAGTGAAGGGGCAGCACTCACCAGCGAGTGAGCGTGGCTGCTGCCCTGTGAGTGAGTGAAGGGGCAGCACTCACCAGCGTGTGAGCGTGGCTCCTGCCCTGTGAGTGAGTGAAGGGGCAGCACTCACCAGCGAGTGAGCGTGGCTGCTGCCCTGTGAGTGAGTGAAGGGGCAGCACTCACCAGCGTGCGAGCGTGGCTGCTGCCCTGTGAGTGAGTGAAGGGGCAGCACTCACCAGCGAGTGAGCGTGGCTGCTGCCCTGTGAGTGAGTGAAGGGGCAGCACTCACCAGCGTGTGAGCGTGGCTGCTGCCCTGTGAGTGAGTGAAGGGGCAGCACTCACCAGCGAGTGAGCGTGGCTGCTGCCCTGTGAGTGAGTGAAGGGGCAGCACTCACCAGCGAGTGAGCGTGGCTGCTGCCCTGTGAGTGAGTGAAGGGGCAGCACTCACCAGCGTGTGAGCGTGGCTGCTGCCCTGTGAGTGAGTGAAGGGGCAGCACTCACCAGCGAGTGAGCGTGGCTCCTGCCCTGTGAGTGAGTGAAGGGGCAGCACTCACCAGCGAGTGAGCGTGGCTGCTGCCCTGTGAGTGAGTGAGAGGGGGCAGCACTCACCAGCGTGTGAGCGTGGCTGCTGCCCTGTGAGTGAGTGAAGGGGCAGCACTCACCAGCGTGTGAGCGTGGCTGCTGCCCTGTGAGTGAGTGAGAGGGGGCAGCACTCACCAGCGAGTGAGCGTGGCTGCTGCCCTGTGAGTGAGTGAGAGGGGGCAGCACTCACCAGCGTGCGAGCGTGGCTGCTGCCCTGCCTGCGACGGTCAATGAACACTGTGTCGATGCGATTCCCGTCCTGGGCCAGGAGACACGCGCGCTGGCCCTGGTGCTGAACACACACACGCGGGGTCGCGGGGTCACAGGGCAGCGGTCAAGAGGGATTGCAATACAGCAAGCGCAAGTCTGTGCGTGTGTGTGAACATGTGCGTGAGTGTGTGGGGGAGGGGTCGTGCAGCGGTAAGCGCACAGCGCTACGAACCTGGCGACCAGAGTTCGATTCCCGCTCACATTCAACACCCGTGACGATTATCTGAACCGACCTGGGCTGTGGGTTGTGTTCTTCATGCTTTTGGAGTCCCCGACTCTATGCTCACAATCATTAAGGACCTTCATGGATGGTGGGTGGGCCTGGGTAAAGTTACATGGCCAGGAGTTATAGCCATTCCTTGTTCACCTTGCGGTGCGATAGGAATGTCCTCTGGCTCCCACATTATTTAACATCATCTTTGACCACACAGTTTGAGAAGCCTTCCATGTCTGTACTGGTGGAATCTACATCTGTATGGGGACAATGTGAGGCTGATCGGTGCCCGGGTACAGTCGAGGGATGGCTCTCTCTTGGTCAACCATGTAATATACACTGATGATCTGGCGATTGCTGCTCACTAAGAGGAAGAGCATGCCACTAAGCAGTGTGGCCTTCCCATCAGCACCACCAAAACTAAGCACCTGCCTGGGTATTTTGTGCCATCAAACACTCCACCCCCTCAACTCGCCATTGGTGATGGGGCAGTTGTGGAGAGAGTGTAAAGTGTTCCATACCTGGGTAGTGTCCCCTTATGACCAGCTCCAGTTTGACAGGAGAGGTCTCACTCCGAATCAGTCAAGCGGCATTATATTGTCGTCAGCTGTGTGGGAGTTACCTGGTCTGTCACTCCACAAGAAGCTTCGGGTCTTCTCGGCCACGGTCATGCCCAACCTTCTCTAGGTTTTTTCGGTAAAGTCACGTAGGTAAAAAAATATTAAATTGGAGTGATGTGGTACAGGAGGACGTGGAGCTGAGTGGACTTGCCGATGACTGGTACCAGCGGTGTCAAGATTGGCTTTGGTAGAGGAGGCTTGTGAAGGACGCTACTGGGCAGTTGGAGGCAGATTCCCTCCAACAACAACGAAGGGCAGAGGAGCGATGCTCAACAACAAGCGGAGCGCCGAGCGGCTAAAACACAGCAAGTTAGCATAGTAGGGGGCACAGGTGGTGCAGTGGCCAGTCATCTCAGTCTGACAGTCAACCCATGGGCCTGGGTCTGTCCCGTGACCTCCTGCCAGAGGGTGTTCAACACTTCACGTGACCGTAAAGTGCATATAGCCTGGCACAAGCGCCATGGTGGTGATGTCACCGCCACTTAGTGGCGAATGGCGGTTGTTGTGCGTATCTGTGTGCACACGTGTGCGTGTGAGAGTCACCTCCTCTATGAGCTTGGCTCGTCCCTGTAGCAGCTGGGGTGCCACCATCTTCTGCAGTAGCGACACGGAGCCCGGGAACACGAGGCGCCGGCCCAACGTGTGTGCCAGCATGTAGCTACACACGAGGACAAGGAGACACACACGCTACATGCGCAGCTACACACACACACACAGCTACACATACAGCTACAAACACACAGCTGGGGAACAGGAGGTGCCTGCCCACCGTGTGTGTATCTGTGTGTGTGTGTATCTGTGTGTGTGTGTAGCTGTATACAACTACACACACAAACCTACACACAGCTACACACACAGCTACACACACAAAGCGACATACACAGCTACACACACACACAGGCCTCACTGTCACCTGATCATCTGGCAGGGCAGCATGCGTATCCAGGCCAGGCCTCCGCGTGGACGCGGTGCATCGGCGGAGCTGAGGAGTGGAGCCCCGGGCCCACGCGTGGCACCCCTACACACACGCAACAAAGATCCCTCGCATTGCCTTAACAGACTGTAGGGGCAAGTGCTGTTAGCGAGCACCTATGAAGGCCGGCACGGCACGAGGGGGTGGGCGGCCAGCACCACGCCTGGCCGCATTTGTCTCCCCCAGTGGCAATATTTACAAATCGCATTGGGTACTCATTTGAGGCTGAGTCAACCTAGGGTAGGCCCAGGACTGTTTCAGATAATCGTCACTAGTGTTAGTGGCCGTGAGTGGGAATCGAATTCGGATCGCCAGGTTCAAAGCGCAGCGCGCTAACCACTACACCACCACTCCCCACACCAATAACATCACCAACAACGTCACCACCGAACACGTCACCACCAACAACGTCAACACCACCAACGTTAACAACACCACCAACAACAAAAACAACATCACCACCATCAACACCACCATAAAAATCACCAACAACATCACTACCCAGTTTAACACGTAGGCTGTTATTATGAACATCACTACCACCAACATCTCCACCAACAACACCATCACCAAAAACAACAACACCGCCACCAACATTATCAACAACACCAAGGACAAAGATCCCCCAAATAGCCTTAACAGACTGTAGGGGCAAGTGCGGTTAGCGAGCACCTATAAAGGCCGGCACAGCAGGGGGTGGGTGGCCAACACCACGCCCGGCCACCTTTGTCTCCCCAGTGGCAATGTTTACCCATCGCACCAGGTACTTGTTTTAGGCTGAGTCGACCTAGGGGAGGCCCAGGACCGGTTCAGATAATGGTCACTGGTGTTGGCCATGAGGGGGAATCGAACCCGGGTGGCCAGGGTTCGATTCCCCCAACATCAACATCGCCAACAAGATCACCAACAACACTTAACACATCACCAACATCATGTTAAAATACCGTACACTGCAGGAGTAACTGACAAACGAGACAGATTTTTGAAAAACAAAACATTAGAGTCAGATTTGGCACAGGACATGAAATACAAAAACGAATATCTGGTACTAAAGATGCATTACCGAAGCTATCAACAGAATGCACGTACCGGGTTAATTGCTCGTGGCAAATGCGATGTTTGGCAGACAGGACAAATGATCAGCATGAGACTAAAAGAACACCAAAGAAATATGAAATATTCCCAAATACAAATGTCAGCAGTGGCAGAACACACCGTGCCAAAAAGGATACTCAATTTATTTTTACAATGTTGAAGTTCTGTGCAAAACTAGTTACTACTGCCCAAGACTAATTCGAGAATCTATCGAATTTGAGAGAAATAAAATGTTATAACCATTCGTATAGCTACAGGCTTATTGCTGCTTGAAAGTGAATTACTACTATAATAGCCCAGAAATGTGTGTCACGTGCGTGACGTCCCTCCACATGCCGCACTGTATATAAATTTTGTTTTTTAAACATTTTTAAGCACAAAAATAGTTAATTATGCCATTTAATTCACAGTGTAATAGTAAACTAAATGTAAAAACATTGAATAACACTGAGAAAACCTTGAACAACAGAAAAAACTAACATTGCCGTGTCAAGGTTTAGAATCGTTCAACAAGATGATTGTTTCGTCTGCTACATCAGTCGGTCGATTCTGAGAGAGAGAGAATATTCGTATGAGCAATTCATGTTTCTATTGAAAGTAAGTTAACAGTAATATTTGGGTACAGTATTGTTTTTGGAAGCATTCACCGTAATATCGTATGAACGTTTACTTCACCGCATCATCGTATGAATGATGAGAGAAGAGATTAACGGGTTCTTATGTTGGCGATTTACGTACTCAGCGCTTTCGCTCTCTAAATTACGGCTTGAATGAGAGGGGAGGGGTATGACTACACTCACAAAATTAAGTTCACAGCGAATGAGCGCACGTCTGACCGAGACCGATTACTAAGCGAGACTGACGGAGCAAGCGGCCACACGTGGGTCGCTGTTGTTTGTAAACACACAACAGGAAATTTGGCGCTTACAAACAAAATGGCGCGGAAGGGGAAATCGGCCACGGCCGGGTTTGATCGCCACCCGAGTATGTGTTCGTGACCAGATAAAAAAAAAATATTTGGTCGTGGTCAGAAGCATTCGTGACCAGAGGTTCTATTGTATACCCTTGCGTATCTCAGTGTAACTGTGTGTGTATCCGTGTGTGTAGCTGTGTGTATCTGTGTCGCTATATGTATATCCATGTGTATAGCCGTGTGTGGAGCTTTATGTAGCTCTGTGTGTATCTCTGTGTAGCTGTGTGTGGCTGTGTGTATGTAGCAGTGTGTGTGGCTCTGTGTGTAGCTTATTGAAGGCTACACGGGGAATCTCTGTGTGCGTGCCACTCACTTTTCGCTGCCCTCGTTCCAGGAGAAGTCGACGGGCCAAGCGGAGAACTCAAAATCGTAGCGCGCCAGCAGTTTCTGCAGCATCAGACACACACACGGCTTTCCATCACAACGCTGACAGTGATGTTTGTTGCAGGTCGCTGGATGTTTTGGACCCTTTGGTCCAACACTCAACAACTGTTTTACAAAATGCCATCAACATCATCCTAATGGTCACCATCATCACACACCATCGTCAACACCTCCTCTGCCCTCCGTTGTTGTTGCTGGAGGGCGACCGCCACGTAAGCCACTTCGTTGAGTTATCATTAGTGGCCAGGTCGCTTCCGAAAGAGCTATATAGCTCAGCGGGCCTTACCTGGAAAAATTAAAATATTTTAGTTTATAGTTGATAACTCTCAGAAAACCGGCATATTTGATGAACCGGCAACCCCATCCAATCCCCGTGGATGCCGGATAACGGAGCTTCCGCTGTATCATGCGGTGATGCTGCCACTGCTACCGCTGCTGCATTAGCGCACAAACAACAGAACTCAACGCGCTCGCCAAAAACCCACGGGCATGTGGCTGCAACACCAGCGTGTGGTTTTCAACAATGCGAATTTGCTCAAATGCAACTAATGTGTATTACGGGGAACACGCATTTTTTTTATAACGTGGATGCGAATTTAATATATATTTGCTGATCTCGATTTAAAGCTTTCGTGACTGCAGGGATTCATCTTCTTGGTTCTTTCGGTAACGTCACGTAGAAGGGAAGTAATATAATAATAATAAAACATAATAAAATAATATAATAATATCATATTTTATTATGTTTTGTTTTTATTATTTTATTACTTCCCTTCTACGTGACTTTACCGAAAGAACCAAGAAGAGGTTTTGCTGATCTCGTCAAGGAGTATAAATCATTATCACGCAAACTCCGGTCATTCTCGCAGCAACAGTGGCTCCTGGCTAGCCGTCGAACAAAAACAGCATCGCGCGGCATTTTCAGATGCGCTTCTGCGGCCGTCTGGAACGCTCTTCCTCTCGATATTAGGAACCCACTGGGAGCTGTGCACTTTTGAATCATCATCTAAATTGATAAACTAATTTATTTACAACTGCTCTGTGTCTTTGGTTTGTTGTCCTTCCCCCACACCTCTGATTAGCACGGTTGGCTACGTACGGTGCAAAATAAGTTTAACATACATACATACATATAACGAGATTGAGCGAACGACGCCGCATGAGTAGAAATAAGTGGTCGTAATATACGGCTACCTCAGCGTAGCATCATCACACAAAGCATTGGGATGCTGCTGGATGCTTCTAGATGCTACTCACGTGCCTCAGTCTTTGTTCGGCATCTCGCGCGTTATCGCGGACTGTGCTTTACACCCAATATTACATATTATAATGCCATTTTTTTCCATAAACTATAAAGAAATATTTTACCAGGTTACGGTCCATTGAGCTCGACAGCTCTTGTTTAGAAGCGACCTGGCCACAAATGATGGCTCAACGAAGTTGCTTACCATGTGGAAAAGTATAGCAGCCAAATACTCTAAATGCACGTTAATTCTAAATGTGGAAGCGAAAAACCGGAGGACCTGGAGTAAAATCCACGCGACCACGGGGAGAACACGCAAACTCAAAATAATAAGCAGGCGTCAGGATCAGGATCGAACCCGCTACCTCCTGTATACCAGGCGAGGTAGTTGACATCTCGCCAACGTGGCAACCACGACCGCCACGTTATAGGAGAACACGAACTGAATACAACGGGTGATGATTCGGGCAACGGCCCTTCTTCATGAGCGAGCGAGAGCGCCCATCACCTTGTTGTCGAAGGCATTCCTCTGCTTGGTCTGCTCCAGCACGGTGATGAACTGCAGGTACTCCGGGTTCTGCCACCGACCAAGACCTGAACAGAGAGATGACAACTGCCGCTCAACACCAGGTGGCGCTGGGCGTCACCAGGCACTTTGCGCCAGGCTAGGTGCACTTTGAGGCCATCACATAAAGTGTGGAAGGCTCGCTGCTGGCAGGAGGTCACGGGACAGACCCAGGTGCCATGGGTTGACCGACTAAGATGACTGGCAGATGCACCAACCATGCCAACTTTTAGCTGCCCGGCGCACTGCCGGTTGTTGTGAGCGTCACTTCTCTGCCCTCCGTTGTCGCTGGTGGGCAATTGCCTTCCAACTCCCCCTCCTATCGTAGTTATTGAGCTGATCTCGCCCATGCTTTCCAATCACTCAAGACCAGGCTGTCTGCATCGCGACCCACTCGGGCCTTAAGGTCACCCAAGAGGATACCTCTATCCCGAGAGGCCACTTTAGCTGGCACGTGGGACAAGAGTTCATAGAAGGCATCCGGCTCATCGGCCTTACTTTAATCCCTCCAATGATGTCATCTTCAGTGGGGATATAGGCCGCCACCACTACCACCATCCCTCTCCTCCTGTTGATGGGGAGGAGAGCCCACAATAGCCTGGGACAAATAGCAGCTTCTAACACCCTCACCTCCACTCTCCCACACACCCTTCATTCAGAAATGGTCCACCGGACCCTCTTGCATTGCACAGAGCGTATATCAGACATTTCTACACAGTGGTTTCCTTTCTGGAGGAACCTCGAGGGGAGAGGGGTAGGGTGTTCAGTCTGGCTCCACCAAAAACGCATCATAAATGCCTGCATCCCTGGAGCCTCCAGCATCAGCTGATGGGCATTTCCACCGTAGAATTTGGTAGAAAGTGCCAAGTCGGAGGGGTTACCAGTCCCTTAAGCACTAATCTCGCGACAAAGACAAAGATCCCCCGTGTAACCTTAACAGACTGTAGGACAATAGTGATCGGGCGTGGTGCTGGCCACCCACCACCCTCTTGTGCCATGCCGGCCTTCGTAGGTGCTGCTACTCGCTAACAAGACTTGCTCCTACAATCTCGCTACACACAGTATTATAAACCCCCAGCTCATACTCAGCCTCACCTAGGCCTCACCACACTCACCCCATACAACAACCGCCATTCGCCACTAAGTGCGGTTACATCACCATGGTGCTTGTGCCAGGCTATGTGCACGTTGAGGCACGTGAAGTGTCGAATGCCCGCTGGCATAAGGTTATGGAGCAGACCCAAGTGTCACAGGTCGACTGACTGAGCTGACTGGCCGATGCACCACCTGTGCCCCCTACTGTGCCAAATTGCTGTGCTTTAGCCACCCGGCGCTCCGCTCGTTGTTGTGAGCGTCGCTCCTCTGCCCTCCATTGATGTTGGAGGGTGACTGCCTCTAACTGCCCAGTAGCGTCCTTCACAAGCCTCCTCCACAGAGGCCGATCTTGGCACCGCTGATACCAGTCATCGGCAAGTCCATTCAGCTCCACATCCTCTTGTACCACATCACTCCATCTCTTCTCTAGCCCGTGCAGTGCCCATTTCGCCCCTTCTATCCAGCCAAACAAAATCTGTTTAGGCATGCGGTGGCTGGGCATGCGGGTTACATAACCCAGCCAACGCAGTCTTGCCTTCTGGAGGAGCTCACCGATGGGACTATGTCCAGATCTTTCAAGGATTTGTGAGCTCCTCACATAATCCAACCTGGTTAATGCCAGGATAGATCGCAGGCAGGCCAGCCTAAATGTTTCTAACCGGCAAAGGTGTTCCATTAGGGGGGTCCATGTTTCGCAAGTGTAGAGAAGGGAGGGCATGACTGTGGCCGAGAAGACCTAAAGCTTCGTGTGAAGCGACAAACCAGGTAGCTCCCACACAGCGTTACGCAACCGATGAAAATATGCCACTCAACTAATTCGGAGACCTCTGCTGTCAAACCGGAGCCGATCATGAGCACACTGCCCAGGTATGGGAAACTCTCCACTCTCTCCACAACTGCCAAATCACCAATTGGGAGTTGTGGGGGTGGAGTGTCTGATGGTACAAAATACCCAGGCAGGTGCTTAGTTTTGGTGGGGCTGATGATCAGTGGCACGTGCCAGGTTTAGAAGCAGCACCTCCAACTCCTCCTCTGAGTGAGCAGCAATGACCAGATTATCAGCATACAAAACATGGTTGAGCAATAGGGAGCCATCCCTTGACCGCACCGATCAACCTCCCATTGTATTTGTACCAAATGGAAATTGCTCCGTTACAGCCATCGAAGGCTGCACGACCTACGTGGTTGAAATAGATGTTAAATAATGTGGGCACCAGAGGACATCCTTGTCGCACCCCAAGGTGTACAGGGAATGGCTCTGACTCCCAGCCACGTAGTTTTACCTGGGCCCGCTCACCATCATGAAGGTCCTTAATGATTGTGAACAAAGAATCAGAGACTCCGAAAGCACGAAGAACACCTCTGCTGTAGCAGATGGACAGAAAATATGGCATCCGTGCAGGACCGCCCTTTCCTGAAACCACATTGGGGCTCCGCAAACCTCTCCTCAGCGTGTCTGACAAGGCAATGATGCATAATCCTTGCCAGGACCTTTCCCGACACACTGAGGAACAAGATGCTCCTGTAGTTGTTCAAGTCTGTGCGGTCCCCATTCTTAAAAAGGGGGACAACCAGGGAATCCTTCCAGTCCTGTGGAACCCGTCCAGTGGTCCAGACTGTTGTTATGATGTGATGTAGGGCAGTATGTGCAAAAACACTACCCTCCCTCAGCATTTCACTTGGGAAATCATCTCTGCCCGGTGCCTTTCCTGGTCTCTAGACTATGGATCGCCTTCACTGTTCTTTCCCCTAACGATGGTAATAGGTGTGGCGCTGCAAGTTACTTTTTTGATGGAATTAAATAGCGATTTGTGATCGCGAGCCACTGAGGCAGATTCCATCTCCTCAGCAACCCTCGACCACCACCCAATTCTTGCAGTGCCTCACGGCTCTCCGAAACTCCGAGCGAAGGCTGCGGTAAGCCTCCTCATTCTTTGATATGGGATGCTGTAGACGATGAGAGTGGGCCCGTCACTTTTTCTCAGCCAGCCTGAACACCTCTGTCAGCCAGGGTCTCTGGGGAGGTCTGGACCATGTACCCAAGGCAACCATTCAGGCTGCATGAGCCACAGTCCTAAACCTCGCCCACTTCCCCTCAACATCAGGAGGATTGGGGGGCGATGCCAAACACTATGGGTTTGAATGGAGTCCTAGGTGTACACCCACTACCGGAGTGGAAGAATGGCAGGCACATCTTACAGATGACAAGTCGATGGTCAGTGGACAGATCAGCTCCACGGTAGGTCCTAGTGTTAAGGACATGGGCCCGCATCCGCTGTTCCGTCACTATATAGTCCAGCAGATGTTATTGCTTGGACCCGGCATGCATCCATGATGTTGTATGGATGCACCGATGCCGGAACAGCGCGTTGGTAATTACAAGCCCATGGGCTGCACAAAAATCTAGCAGCCTTCTACCATTGTTATTGAGCCGATCTGGTCCATGCCTTCCAATCACTCCAGACCAGGTGCCAGCATCATTACCAACTCGGGCATTAAAGTCACCCAACAGGATGACAGGAGACACTTTAGCTGGCACCTGGGACAGGAGGTCATATAAGGCAACTGACTCATCGGCCTTGCCTGCATCCCTCCACGGATGTTCGTCTTCAGTGGGGCATAAGTATCCACGACCACCACTCCTCGCCTCTGGTTGATGGGAAGGCGAGCCCAAAGTATCCTGGGGCTTACAGCTTCCCACACCTCACCGCCACGCTCCCATACCACCTACTTTCTTTTGTTCAGAAGAGCCACTCCCTGTTGTTTGGCAGTCTCCTGCCCCGAGTAGAGGACTGTCCACCCCTCATGGTGGCAGGAGCCAGAGCCGATCCACCGTACCTCCTGAATACCAGAGATCCAGGCAGTAATAATCCATCTCCCAACAGAGGAGTGGCAGCTTCTCCTCCGCAGTGAGCATTTGAACATTCCACATGGCCACCCGCAGTGGCTTTTTACTGTTTCTAGAGGAACCCCAAGGGTAAGGATTCAATCTCCTGGCTACGCCAAATGGGGTTTGGCCAGGAGACCTGATAGACGCCTGTCCCCCTGGGGCCTCAGGCACAAGCTTGGTTTGATATATATTTATTCCGTCGTTAATATTTTTCCGTCGTTTAGTGGTGCACAGACACACACAGAAGTACACACGCACACTCGCACGTGTGCATAAACAAAAAGACAAAGATCCCCCGTATAGCCTTACAAGACTGTTAGGGTAAATGCTGTGAGAAAGTAGCACCTATAAAGACACACACACATAGACAGACGTACTCAGACAGTAGCATTTCCTGTTGTAATCAGGTTGTGTAGTTGTGTTGCTGTGCAGTCAGAGTGTTGTGAATTTGTTGTCAATGCTCACTGCTGTGTGGCAGTAGCTGTTGTCATTGTTGTAGTTGTTGTTGTCATGATTGTTGTGTTTTCTACCAGACCACTTGGAAACGTTATCCAGCCAACGGCTGCTGCTGTGTTTTTGTGTAATGCTTATGTAGTCGTCTGTTATTGGTGATGTAGTTATATATTTTTATATCTAGAACTATTTAAAAAAAAATTAACCACGGAAGGCCCACTGAGTTTCTAGCTCCTTTTCAGAAGCAACCTGGCTATCACAAATGATAGCTCAATGAAGTGGCTGATCATCACGTGGCAATGTATAGCAGCCAAATACTCTAAACAAGTGTTGTTCTAATTGTGAAGGGGAAAAATCGAAGGACCCGGAAAAAAAATCCACCTAACCACGGAAAGAGAGCGAGAATACGCAGACCGTATAGGCCAAATGTACAGGTGTCAGGGTCGGGATGGAACCGACGACCTCCTGCATACCAGGCGAGGTAGTTAACATCTCGCCAGTTGTTGCGTTGGTTGTGTAGTTATAACGTCGTGTGTAATGTTGTGTAGTTATGAAGTTGGGAGCAGTAGGCGCATTGGTCAGTGCGCTGCGCTACGAAGCCGCCGACCCAAGTTTGATTCCCGCTCACAGCCAACACCAATGACGATTACCTGAACTGGTACTGAGCCTCCCCTAGGTGAACTCGGCCTCAAATTAGTATCTGGTGCTCGATGTGTAAACATCGCCACAAAGGGAGATAAAAGACGGCTGGGCGTGGTGCTGGCCACCCACCCATACGAGGGAATGTTTGTCTTTGTTTTTGTAGCGATGCAGTTGTTGTGTCGTTGTGTTGTGGTGGTTACTGTACAGTGTGGTTGTGTAGCCATACTGTAGTGTGGCTGTGTAGTGATACAGCTGTGTGTGGTTGTTGGGTTTGTTGTGGTTGTTGTGGTTGTTGTGGTTGTTGTGGTTGTAAGCTCTGCACACCACGTAGGCAGGTCACCCCCAGCAGCAGCAGAATGACGGAGCCCAGGATCTGGGTGAAGGAGGCCGTGCGGTCCCAGTGTAAGAGACCTGGGACACATGGGGAGCCACGTGGACACACATGGGGTTGTGTTCGTGGTTGTGGTGGATGTCGTGTTGGTTGTGGTGGTTGTGGTGGATGTCGTGGTGGTTGTGGTGTGATTGTGGTGGATGTTGTGGTTGTTGTGGCGGTGTTATTGGTGGTGGAGGTCATGGTGATTGTGGTTGTGTGGTGGTTGTGGTGGATGTCGTGGTGGTTGTGGTGGATTTCATGGTGGTTTTGGTGGTGGTTGTGGTGGATGTCATGGTGGTGGTGGTGTTGGTGGATGTGGTGGTGTTGGTGGATGTGGTGGTGTTGGTGGATGTCATCGTGGCTGTGTGTTGGTTGTGGGGTTAGTTGTGGTTGTGGTGGTACCTCTGCGGTACATGAAGCCCACGAGGAGGGGAGAGGAGTAAAATGTAAAACTCCATGCCCAGGAGGCCTAGAAACAAAACATCACCGTTACGACACCACAACCACGACCACAGCCACTTCACCTACAACCTCTAAAACCACAACAATCAATCACCACAACCATAACGGCAACCACTATAACCACAACTTCCACAACCACAACTACAACCACTTACACTAAAATCACACAATCGCCATCATATCCATGTAACAACCACGCAAAGTGGTGAGCATGGGGAGTGCGGTGGAGAGCACGGTGAGGATCAGTGGTGAGCGTTGTAGAAACTTGTGAGTGTGGTGAGTGTCGTGAGTGTGAGTGTGGTGAATGTGGTGGTGGCAAGTATGGTGAGTGAGCGAGTGTGGCGAGTGAGTGTTGTGCACCGATTTGCAGTGCTGTGGTGATAGTAAGGTGATCGTGGTGTAGCAAGTGTGAGTGTGATGGCAAATGTGCTGAGTGTGCCGAGTGTGGTCACTATGATTTGTAATGGTGTGGTGATGGTAACGTTATCGTGTTGAGTGTGGTGAGTATTGTTTTTGGTGAATGTGGTGGTGAGTGTGGCGAGTGAGTGAGTGTGGTGAGTGAGTGTGGTGAGTGAGTGTGGTGAGTGAGTGTGGTGCACTCTTGATTTTCTGTGGTGTGATGGTGGTAAGGTGATCGTGGTGAGTGCGGTGAGTGTGTGTGGTGAGTCTAAGTGTCGTGCACTATGATTTGCAGTGTGGTGGTGCTGGGTAAGGCGATTGTGGGGTTGTAGTATTTGTTGAGTGGTATACAAGATGTGATTGGCATGGACTTGTATTGTGGTGAGTGTTGGGAGTTTGGTAATGGTGGTGGTGAGGGTTAGTGTGGTGGCGAGTGTGATGTAATGTTGCTAGTTATTTGCGGTGGTGAGTGTGGTGGTGAGTGTGGTGGTGAGTGTGGTGGTGAGTGTGGTGGTGAGTGTGGTGGTGAGTGTAGTAGCGAGTATGGTATTGAGTGTGGTGGTGAGTGCGGCTGGAAGGGCGGCGGTGAGTGTGGCGGTGAGTGTGGTAATGAGTGTAGTAATGAGTGTAGTAATGAGTGTGGTAATGAGTGTGGCGGTGAGTGTGGCGATGTGTGTCGTCAAGACACATCGCTCTAGCACGCTCGGCTGGTAGTCATGCCGACTGTGGTGAGTGAGGTGTGGTGAGGGCTGCTGGTGAGGGCAGTGTGGTGAATGGTGAGCATCTCACCCACTGCAGCAGTGCGTCTGACCGTCGCTCCAGCGCGCTGGGCTGGTAGTCATGGCCCTGTAATACAAAGACAAAGATCCCCCGTGTAGTCTTAGCAGACTGCTGGGGAAAGGGCTGTTAGCGTATAGCGGCTCGGCACAGTGGCACACGAGGGTGTGGGTGGGTGGCCAGGTACTCATTTGAGGTTGAGTCGACCTAAGCGAGGCCCAAGACCGATTCAGACAATCGTCGCTTGTGAAGGCCATGAGCGGGGAATCGAGCTATCATTTGTGGCCAGGTCGCTTCTGAAAAATAAATGAATACCTCAGTGGGCTTTGCTTGGTAGGGTGGGAATGGTTTAGTTGAATTTGTATGTGTTTGGGTGATTTGTTTACCTTTCTTGTACTTTGTACTATCATGTTTTTGTATTGTTTGTTGCTGTAACGTTCTTACACACCCTGACTGGACATCTTTGAAAATTTGATTTATAGCTCAAGGGCCATCCATAAATGACGTCACGCACCTAGGGGGGGTCAGACATTTGTGACGATGTGTGACGAGGGGGGGGGGGGGGGTTTGAGAAATGTGACGTCACATCAAAAAGCGCAACTTTAAATAGACAACACGTTCTACTTAATTAAATAGACTTTTAAATAAATGTTTTCTCCTACAACATCAGAGTGCAGCGCCACATTAAATACGCACTACAATGACAATAGTTGAAAGCGATTTGAAGCATGTTTTATATATTTTTTGGGGGGGGGGGGGGCAGAGCTTTGTGACGTCATATTTGAGGGGGGGGTCTGACTTTTTGTGACGCCGTGTGACGATGGGGGCGGGGTCAAAGATCATCCTAAATCACGTGACGTTATTTATGGATGGCTCATCGGATTACTCCAGTATAAATACATATTCTGATTCCCACAAATAGCAATCACTTCTCTCTCTCTCTCTCTAAATGCCAGTGATACTAAGCGATTCATATTGCCAGAACATACATTTTAAATAAAATGCAGCTATTATGGTGGTTTTTATAGGTTGCCGGCTCATGAAGCCGGTTGTTGTAATTACCGGAGAAACATTAAAGTACTCTCCAACACAACAACCGGTGAGTAATGAACTAGGTAACTAAGTGTCAGGTTTTTTTTTACGTGACAAAGTTTAAGAATTGGCTGTGTCGAGTAGTGGCAGGTTTAACGACACATTTATATATTTACGCGATCTACCCAATTAACTCTATTATGGAAATTGGTCGCGAAGGTCTACATGTTAAACTGACCATCCTAGACTCTCACCCAGTTCCGTAGGAGTGCTTCTGCTGCTGCTCTCACCATCCTAAAGATGAGGCTGGTTGTAATTACCAGGCGAAACGTGGCGGGTACTCGAATGGTAAATGTTGATGTGTATTACTCCCCAACACACAACCGGTGAGTGCTGAACCTAGTCATTAAAAATTGGCACGTTTTGTTTTACGTGACATTACTGATTGGCCATGTCGAGCGGTGATGGTGGCAAGTGTAACGACATATTTATACGTTGACACTAACCCACCACAAAACCACCTCTATTATGGATATTCGTCGTGAAAGCTTACTCCAGTAGATTATCGATTATCCGGCGGCTTTGGGGGCGCCGGATTTCATAAACGCCGGATAATCACTAACCATGATTTAAAATAGCTTATTTTTGCACATAGCGTAACATTTTGTTTTTAGGTGTTGTATATAGGTGTTTTGTGATTTAAATGTGTTTACTATATGGAATTGGCATAAATAAAAAGAGACATATCCTACTGTTAAACGTTACAGTATTCACTGTACCGTACTTACACACACTCAAATCTCGATGACTGCATCACGGGGTTGATGTACGGTAGCTCTTGTCTCACCACGACCACGTGTTTAACTATCGCCGGAATGATACGAACACCGAATCACACAACGCACTTGTCACCGGATCGGTGTATATTTTCTGTTTTTATTTCTGAAGTTATTAGTCGCGGTAAAAAAAATGTTTATGCAGTATTTTCAGTAAGTTGTTTGTATGCAGTGTATAATGTACCGTATATATTTGATTGACACTGATATCAAGCGTAGCTACTTCATTTTGTCACACAAAAGGTGCTGATCGCCGGATGTTGGAGGCAGCCGGATAATCGATGATCAACTGGATTAATTTTGTTTTACACCAAAATTGTAAAAAAAAAATGTCTCGTTATTTTGGTTTGCCGACACCACCCTGTTCCAGACTTGTGCTGTGTTCCCCACAAAATGGTACTGTATTTTATCGACCCTCCCGGAATGATTGTTGATGGGGTTGGGTAACCCCACCAAGCAGGATTTCAGCACAGGCAAGTCGCTGGAGTTGCTGTTCCCATTTCAGCTCCCTGCCCCTGAAGGGTTGAGTCATACTATTTTATTTATTAATACGACACGCTCTCTATTAACTCACTCTGTCGTTGTATCCTCAAATCTTGTAACTCAACATTAACCCACTTCCCAATGTGGTATCGACTACAAACTTGGTATACTTATGTCATACTGATGACAATACTATATTCTATCATAAAATATAAAAACATATATTTTAAAACAATCTTTTTTACATGTTATGTTTCGCCTTGGGTCTAATTGTCCACGCTCAACTAACGTTGGCTGTAAATCACCACGGTCTCTTACGTTACGGCAAGCTTCGGGGCCACTTCCTGGAGTCGTGGAGTTCTTCCATTACGAGTACGGTACATTTCATACTGGTAGGAACCTGATGGTTACACCAGCCCACAGGGGATTATTGTGTCCGTCCGTCCGTCGTGCAGGGAGGGGCTGAATGGGGAGGGGCTGGGTGGGGAGGGGCTGGGTGGAAGGGGGGGGGCTGGGTGGGGCTGGGTGGGGAGGGGCTGGGTGGAAGGGGGGGGGCTGGGTGGGGAGGGGCTGGGTGGGGAGGGGCTAGGTGGGGAGGGGCTGAGTGGGGAGGGGCTGGGTGGGGAGGGTGGGGCTGGGTGGGAGGGGCTGGTCACCCCGTGGTGCCCTTATAAAACTCAACGTTTAACCTACTCACGCCGGCTTGTGCCCGCCCTGACAGTCGGGCGGAATACACCACGCCGCCGTTGACCCTGGCCATTGACCGAGCAACCCAACGTTCCTACCAGCTCCCTCCGCAGGAATGTCTTTAAACAGTGTTTTTAAAAAAGTTTTTTTTAATATTACTTAATTTATGTTTTACCAGGTATAAGCCCAATTTAGCTATAAAGCTCTATTTCAGAGCGACTAGCTATCATAAATTATAACTCAACGAAGAGGCTTGTCATCGTGGGAAATGTATAACAGCAGCCAAATGCTCTAAATGCGTGACGATTCTAAATGTGCAGGAGCCGGAGAAAATCCACGCGATCAAGGGTAAGAGAGACTTGCAAACTCTAAATATACAGCAGCAGCAGCAGGCGTCAGGGTCGGGATTGAACCCACGACCCCCTGTACACCAGGCGAGGTAGTAAACAGCGGAGGCTCTGGTTATGGTGGTGATTCTCCTGGGAGGCTGCGGGTTAAGAGTTGGGCGCTCGGCAGGGTCAGAGTTGGGGTGGAGGGTGAAGGCGTCAGGGTCAGCGCTGGGGAAGGTACGGGGGACCCCCAGTGAGCAGCGGCGTTGCCCGAGAGCCGTGACCACTCCGGTTCGAGTTCCGACGCGGGCGGATTACGCCGTGGTGTGAGCAAGGGGGTCCAATCTACCCCCTTCGGTGAGGGGTGGTGGTGGACCTCACCGATCCCTCGCCGCGGCAGTGGAGGCGATAGAGTCGCGGGCCCAGCACGCAGCGAAGAAGCAAAGCAGCCGCCATTGAATCTTGCTGTCCACTGGCAGGATCGATTCCCGACCTAATCGCCACTACTCGACGACTCCTGCCGTATCGATTCCCCCTCTAAACCTATATCAGGAACCGTGGGAATCGAATGTGCTCGTTATTTTAAAGAATCGAACGTGCTCTTGACGTTGAGAAACGATTAACGATTGCGCAACGGTTGGAGCCGGGTTGATGGATTATTTATTTTTGGTATTTCCGGAAGCATCGGTGACCTGTGATTGTGCAGACTACAGCAGGAAGAAGAAATCCGATTAGCTATGAAGCTCTTCCCCCCCCCCGCACAGATGTCCAGGAGGCACGCGGGGATGGTCAGAAAGTCCCAACAGCAAAGACAGAACAATGGGAGTGCAGAGCACTGTATAGGGGAAAGTTAAGCACATTGCAATATATAAATGCAAAATACATGGAATAATTAAAATGTATTTATTCTGCAGAAATCCGATGAGCTATAAAGCTCTTTATCACACAAGTTCAGGAGAGGCACAGGGTAAGAACATTACAACAACAAATACAAAAACATGACATTAATGCAAAAATCCAAGGTAACAACATCACCCAAACACATCCAAATACAACCCTAAACCATCCCTACCCTACCAGGCAAAGCCCACCGAGGATGAACTTGTTTTTCAGAATCGACATGCCCACAAATGATCGCTCATCAAAGTAGCCCATTATTTGGACATTTTAAGCAGAAAAAAAATCGAAATCACTTCAATACATAACAAAAATACATATAATAGGTAATACGTATTTATACCGAAGGAATCCGATGAGATATAAAGCTATTTTTCACAGTACGTCCAGTATATACATTAAAGTATATTAAGTACAAATTGCATAGATCCATCAGTTCCCAAGTTTGGTGGCAAGGCATCAACACAGCAGCAGTCTCTCAAATTGCATTCCACATTCGCCTTGTACGATCGACACGACTACGACGGGTAAAATGATCACCGTTACAGATCAGATTTGCAAAAGAATGTGTTTGCTTTTCGATTTAAAGCTTTCGTGACTGCAGGGATTCATCTTCTTGGTTCTTTCGGTAAAGTCACGTAGAAGGGAAGTAATACAATAATAAAAATAAAACATAATAAAATAATTCTCACGACGTTTCGGCCACAACGCAAGCAGCCGTCCTCAGGTGAAACCAGGTCTGTCGAGGCGACAGCGTTAGACGCTGTCATACCGCGAGATACGCCAATGTTGGACACACAAATAAATTTTCACGCACAACGAGTCTGTGTGCAAAATCTCAGCTCGATTGGATCACGGGAAGTGGGTTAAAAAACTACCGAAAGATTTGCACGGTCGTAAGCGCGCAAGCAAGCAAGCAAGTGAACTTAATAGAAAGGATTTAAATACAGGATTTAAAAATGGAAGGAACTGGGAAAGAGAGGGAAGACCTAACAGAGACGACGAGATCATAAAAGGTTGGTTGCCAGAAATGTGTGGCGCGCTACTTGAGCATATTGGCACTACAAGACAGAGAAAGGAAAGTGGAAACAACGAATTATGAAATGTGCAGTGGACCATCTATCTGTAAAGTATTTTTAAAAATGTTACCAGGTAAGGCCCACTGAGCTCTGTAGCTTGTTTTCAGAAGCGACCACAGCCTATCACAAATGACAGCTCAACGAAGTGGCTTATCATGTGGACATTATTTTATAGCAGTGGCCAAAAACTCGAAACGGATGTCGATTCTAATGTGGAGGCAAAACCTGGAGAAAAATCCACGCGTCCACGGGGAGTCCGTGCAAACTCCAAATAGACAGCAGGCGTCAGGGGTCGGGATTGAACCGACGTCCCTCCTGTATACCAGGCAATCACCATCTTGGCGCTCCAACTACAGACATATCTGCCCCATGGATAGTGATGATGATTGTAACTAATTGTATTAAGGGGCCGTCCATAAATGACGTCACGTACCTAGGGGGGGGGGGTCAGACATTTGTGACGATGTGTGACGAGGGGGGGGGGGGTGAGAAATGTGACGTCCCTCAAATGCGCAACTCTAAATAAATATAGACAACACGTTCTACTTAATTAAATAGACCTTTTAATACATGGTTTCTCCTACAACATCAGAGTGCAGCGCCACATTAAATACGCACTAAAATGACAATAGTTTAAAGCGATTTGAAGCGTGTTTTATTTTGGGGGGGGGGGGGCAGAGCTTTGAGGGGGGGGCTGACTTTTTGGGACGCGGGTGAAGAAAGGGGGGGGGGCCAAAAATCGTCCAAAATCGCGTGGCGTCATTTATGGACGGCCCCTAGCTGGACAAATCCTGGATGCGCTGGTGTCAGATCACTCGATATTAACAGAACAGCTGCATGTGAGCAGTGCCCGCAGGCTACAGGGGAGGTGACGCTGCAGTGGCCCAATGAGTTGCTATGCTTACTTGTGTAGTAAGTATATATGGAGGCTTGACGACAGGATCGGAGGCACACTTATTTATTACACCAACACAGTCATTACAGGTCACTTGGCTACAGGGATTTCTCGACAGCTAACCCCTCTAACCTATACCAACTCCTCCACTACGGGACTAGGGGAGGCTATCTGTCCCAGCTTGGTTAAGCTGGGATCCCGGCTCCCTGAGTCACCAGACCAGCTTCGTCTGGGCTCTCGGGGCCACGCCACCGGCTTGCCCTGGTCGGCCCTTAGAAGGACAGCGAGCCAGGGGAGCTCCGGGGCCTATACTAGCAGGTCTTCGTTCTTCTCTGGTTAAAGCTGAGTCCCGACCTCGAGCCCTCGAGCTCATCACCTTTTATAGGACTCGCCCCCGAGGGGGGGCCCGTGGGGGATACACATGCGGACGTCGGTGCGAGCGCCACCCTTGTGTACGGCCGTAACCCCGCCCCTTGTGTTTGTTGGCCATCCGTGGCCATGCATAATCACACCTCAACATTCGTAGCCATGCGCAATTACACCTCTACACTTGCATCCATCATAACCTTTAGAACTGCGTTTTTCTCAGATTCTTTCTTATACAGAACCGCTTGTCGTTATGTTCAGCTTGTTGTCCTACCCCCGCACCTACGATTAGCACCATTTCGAAAGAAGTTACATCCTGAAAACCGCATCCTCTGCACAAGCCCATGACAGCAGCAGATGCGGATACCTGATCCACAAATTGAAGGGAAAAAAACATGATCCAGTCGTGGTGGCTCTACCTGTGGTCATCCAGAACAAGATACCCGTAGCGTAGTACAAAGTATAACCGACCACGCAATGATGTCCCCGATCCACAAATACTGAAGGAGACACCGCAGCGATGAACACACTCCGCTGCTAGTTCAAGTTTCAAGTTCATTTATTAGGTATAGCCCTGTGAGCCATTCGGCTCTTGAATCGGGTTGACGTGGTGGCGAGGAGATGTTAACTTCCTCGACTGATATGCAGAAGGAGGAGGAGGGCCTGGGTTCGATCCCGACCCTGACGCCTGCTGTCTATTTGGAGTTTGCACGGTCTCCCCGTGGACGCGTGGATTTTTCTCCAGGTTTCGCCTCCACATTTAGAATCGACATCACGCGTTTAACATATTTGGCTACTGCTATGGGACCGTCCATAAACAACGTCACACACCTAGGGGGGGAGGGGTCAGACATTTGTGACGATGTGTGACGATGGGGGGGGGTGTTTGAGAAATGTGACGTCACATCAAAATACGCAACTTTAAATAAATATAGACAACACGTTCTACTTAATTAAATAGAGTTTTTAATAAATGTTTTATCCTACAACATCAGAGTGCAGCGCCACATTAATTACGCACTACAATGACAATAGTTGAAAGCGATTTGAAGCATGTTTTTTTTTGGGGGGGGGCAGAGCTTTGTGACGTCATTTTTGAGGGGGGGGGGTCTGACTTTTTGTGACGCCGTGTGACGAAGGGGGGGGGGGGTAAAAATCGTCCAAAATCGCGTGACGTCATTTATGGACGGCTCCTATACATTTCGCCACGCTGATAAGCCACTTCGTTGGCCAAGTCGCTTCTAAAAAAAATCTACATTGCTCAGTGGACCTCACGATGCTACATCAGCGAGCCCATTCGACAAGATGAGGAGGGAGATTGATTTCAATCGAGCAACGCCGATTCCTCATGTTGTCGTTGCAACGACGTGACGTCATCTTTACATTGTCGCTGTCTTGGCGGGATGACGTCACTCAGCGTTCCTGTCGTTGCGATTGCGTCACTGGCGCTCGGAGGGAGATGTTGCTCGGGGCGTTCGCATGATGACCTCCCGGGATGTCACTCCCCTCCATCTCTCTCTCTCTGTGTCGACAGTCGCGATGACGTCACTCTGGAGCCGAAAGATGGCGTCACCAGTAGCATCGGGTGTTTGCTCGCGCGCGTTGTAGGGATGACGTCACATATGGCTCACACACTCCGACGGCGACAGCGATGAGGTCACTCAGGTGGTGGGAGGGGAGATGACGTCACACAGGTGGGTTATGGAGGTGACGTCATCGCAGTCGGCCGCCATTCTTGGCCGGATGTGAGGCGCGGGAACGAAGGCGGCGCGCCTGAGGAGATTCACAAGTTGTAGGGCAACAACAACAACCACCACCACCACCGCCACTAACAACCACCACTAACAACCACCACTAACCACCACCGCCACTAACAACCACCACTAACCACCGCCACTAACAACCACCACTGCTACTACCACCACCGCTACTACAACTACTAACCACTACTAACAACTACAAACCACCACCATCCACCACCAACCACTACTACTACTAACTACTACCACCATTACCACAACCACCACCACTACTAACAACAACCACCACTACTACTACTAACAACAACCACCACGACTACCAACCACCACTGCTACTACCACCACCACTACTACAACTACTAACCACTACTAACAACTACAAACCACCACCAACCACTACTACCACCAACCACTACTACTACTAACTACTACCACCATTACCACCACCACGACTACTAACAACCACCACCACCACTATTATCAACCACCACCACTACTACCCACTACTACTACTACCAGCCACAACCAGCACTACTTCAACTAGCAGCAGTAACAACAACAACCACCACCAGCTCAGTCGCCAGCAGCAGCAGCAGCCTCAGAGGTGAGGACACGGGGATCCCGCTCCCTGCTGCCGTGTGAAGCTCTGATTGTAATCATCACGACGCTGCGGTCTTCTTCTATATCGCTGCGGTCATTAAATCGCCGCCTCGCCTCTACTCCGCTCTGTTCTAACGTTGCGTGTTGTGTCCCAGAAAGACAAAGATCCCCCGTGGAGCCTTTAACAGACCACACATGGCACTGGGTACTTAATTGAGGCCGAGTGGACCTAGGGGAGACCCAGGACCGATTCGGATGATCGTCACCGGCGGTGTTGGCGGCCGGGAGCGAGACGCGAACTCGCGTCGCCGGGTTCGCAGCGACAAAGACAAAGACACCCCGTGTAGCTCTAACATAGACTTGGGGCAAGTGCTGTAAGCGAGCTGCACCTTTGAAGGCCGACACGAGGGGGTGGGTGGCTCGCACCGCGCCCGGCCGCCTTTGTCTCCCCAGTGGCGATGTTTCCTGCACACCGCACCGGGTACTCGGCTAAGGCTGAGCCGATCTAGGGGGAGGCCAGAACCGGTTCAGATAATGCTCACCGGAGTTGATGTTCCCCGTGAGCGGTAATCGAACTCGGGCTCGCCGGGTTCGTAGCGGCAGCGCTGCGCCACCGCTCCCCACGGTGACGGCGGCTCGCGGGGCGGCACGAGCCCCGCGGGGCGGCACGAGCCCCGCGGGGCGGCACGAGCCCCGCGGGGCGGCACGAGCCCCGCGGGGCGGCACGAGCCCCGCGGGGCGGCACGAGCCCCGCGGGGCGGCACGAGCCCCGCGGGGCGGCACGAGCCCCGCGGGGCGGCTGTCAACACGGAAACGCTCCGCACGGTGACGGCGGCTGAGCGGGACTCCCCTCGGGGGACGTTCGGGGAGTCGGGCTGCGGAGCAGGCTGCGGAGTGTCTGATGGGAAGCAAACGTCGTGACATGGTGCGCCTCGAGAAACGTAACATGTGTGTAGTGTATCGTGTAGTGTATCGTGTAGTGGGTAGCGTAGTGTCTCGTGTAGTATTAGTGTATAATGTAGTGGGTAGGTATAGTGTAGTGAGTAGTGTAGTGTATAGTAAAGAATTAGTGTAGTGTATAGTGTAGTATTAGTGTATCATATAGTGCAGTGGGTAGCCTAGTGTATAGTGTAGTATTAGTGTATAGTGTAGTGGGTATTGTAGTATTAGTGTATCATATAGTGCAGTGGGTAGCGTAGTGTTTAGTGTAGTGGGTAGCATAGTGTATAGTGTAGTGTATAGTAAAGTATTAGTGTATAGTGTAGTGGGTAGTGTATCATATAGTGCAGTGGGTAGCGTAGTGTATAGTAAAGTATTAGTGTATAGTGTAGTGGATGTATGTTGAACATATTTTGCACCGTACGTAGCCAACCGTGCTAATCAGAGGTGCTGGGGTAAGGAAAATTAACTTAACACAAAAAGCAGTTCGAAATAAATTAGTTAAAATGTAGTATAGTAGTGTATAGTGTAGTGGGTAGCGTAGTGTATAGTGTAGTATTAGTGTATAGTGTAGTATTAGTGCATAGTGTAGTGGATGTATGTTGAACTTCTATCGTACCGTTCGTAGCCAACCGTGCCAGTCGAAGTTGCGGGGGGGAAAGACGGTAAACTAAAGACAGAATAACAAGATGAATATGCTACCGATTCAGAGTTACTCTTCTTAAGCCGCATTTGAGCGGAGATGATGGAATGAATGACGCAGCTTCTGACAGAATGCTGCCCCGGGTCAATTTGGACGGGAGATAAACTCGCGGACAATTGTGAAGCACACGTTTGTTGCGATGTCGGGATCCATCCGCTTGTCCCTCGCACGAATGCAGAGGAGAGGAGAGAATGGACGCGCGGATAGCACGACAGACAGCCCACAGAGCGCGAAACGGCGCTGCAAACGGGACTGGTGGGTGAAACATAAGTGAATACCTCAGTGGGCTTCGCCTGGTAGGATGGGGATGGTTTCGTTATTTTCGTATGTTTGTGGGTGATTTGTTTGCCCTTCCTGTACTCTGCACTATTGTTTGTTGTTGTAACGTTCTTACCCCGTGCCGCTACTGGAGAGATCGCGGTGGCGAGATGTTAACTCGCTCGCCCGGTATGAAGGAGTTATGGGTTGGATCCCGAGCCCTGCTGTATACAGTACTGTATTTGGAGTGTGCATGTTCTCCCCGTGGTCGCGTTAATTTTTATCCGCGTCCTCCGGGTTTCCCCTCCATATTTACAATCAGCGTCACGCGTTTAGAGTTTGGCTGCTGCTAAAAAATGTCCACATGATGATATCAGCCACTTTCTTGGCCTTTCATTTGTGATAGCCAGGTCGCTTCTGCCAAAAGAGCGATGCAGCTCTGTGGGCCTTACTTGGAAACATAATTTTGAAAAAATTATACTGTCGCTGGGAAGTGGAGGAAGAAATGAGGATAGTGAGGTGGTGAAACAGGCTGTTCCATGACAGGTGATGAAAAGCCACGTGACTGCACGCCTCGAGAATCATAATCCTAATTAGCCTTATGATTGTTTCGATTAAAGCTTTCGTGACTGCAGGGATTCATCTTATTGGTTCTTTCGGTAAAGTCACGTAGAAGGGAAGTAATAAAATAATAAAAATAAAACAATTCTCACGACGTTTCAGCCACAACGCAAGCAGCCGTCCTCAGGTGAAAACCAGGTCTGTCGAGGCGACAGCGTCTGAATGAAACAGCACACGTGCTTGGAGCATATATATAAGCTGGGTTGGAAGGGGGGAAAAGAACGCCTTGACAAAAGAATATGCATATCAAGAGGCATTTAGCATATTTATATGCTAATGTTACGTTTTATTTTTATTATTTTATTACTTCCCTTCTACGTGACTTTACCGAAAGAACCAAGAAGATGAATCCCTGCAGTCACGAAAGCTTTAAATCGAAAAGCAAACACATTCTTTTGCAAATCAGATTTTTCATTATTTTATTATGTTTTATTTTTATTATATTATTACTTCCCTTCTACGTGACTTTACCGAAAGAACCAAGAAGACTTATGATTGTTGTTAGTATAACACCGCGACCTCGACCAGCGTCGCCTTAACCACGGCGCTTGCGCTCACGTCGCTGACGGCATCGTCCAGTCCGTCCCTTGCTCGTTATTCGTCGCCTCTCAGCCCCTTCGCCGCTGCCACCACCACCTCCCCTTGTATACAAACCACTTTGCGTCGCGCATGAAGAAGATGTCCCGTACTGCAGCGTACAATATATGTTTTATGTACGGTATTTTGGTGGGTTTTTATTTGATCGTATAGTGTATATTATTGTACCCTGTATAATTTGTGTTTAAGTTTACTGCTGATACACTAGTGTTCAGTGCAGTAATTTTACTACTATGATGGAACATTGCTAGTACGTCGATGGTGAAGATTGCACACATTAACAGACCGCTTCACCATACCCTCCATGATCTTTTATTTGCTCTCGTGAACAAATCGCTTTCATTGACGTCGTTTTGATATTCATCGTCGCACATTTCAGAAACACATTCCCAACGGAAACCAGGCAATTACTGTGCTAGATTTGAAGTTTTCGTGACTGCAAGGGTCCATACTCTTTGGTTTTTTCGGTAAAGTCACGTAGGTAAAAATGTTTTACCAGTGCAGCATAACACACCGGTCCCTCTTAAAACAGTTCTAAAATCTGAGTTTGGATCAGCAAATCTGTTTTGTCAGTCTTTAATTGACCCTGTCACTAAGTTTGACGCGATTAGAAAGTTTATTCAGTCTATTGAGATTTGGAAAAAAAATGTGGTCAATATTGACCATTGATTTGGGTCCCATTGAATCGAGGAACAACCGTCCGACCGAGTCTAGGGCAGAGTACAAATTATTGGAACGCAGAGCCGGCAATCATCATCACGGATGGGTGCTGCTATATGTCAACAGACTGACTGAAGCTTCGTGTTCTGTCTTCTGACTGCTTCGACATCACAAGAAACTGATTTTGAGGAATCACCATCCCCGCAAGGATTTTCTGACCGGGGTTTACAAATCGCAGGAAAATAAATAATTAGTGTGCATTAAAATATATATATATACTGCGCACCACCAGTGTACTGCCAATACGTTAAAATGTACAGAATTATTTATATTTTCTGCCCTCTCAAGGGCGAGCTGTCATGAGTCACATGACCCCTCTCTCCATCTCTGCACTCATGCGGCGTTTGTTGTTGTTCCATCTCCTCTTGAGCCGTACGAGAGCCAGGGCATGGCCAACAGCTGGGTGATTTTCCATTGTGAGTGGCGGACGATGGGGCACGCCTATGGTGATGTGATATGGTGATTGTGGCGAGAGTCAGCCCAGTCAATAAACCCATGGGGCCTGGGTCTGTCCGTAACATCCTGTCAGCGAGCCTGTCACATTTCAGATGGCCTCAAAGTGCACTTGGCATGGCACAAACGCCGTGGTAAGATCACTGCCACTTAATGGTAAACGGCGGCTGTCGTGGTTGTGGTGGTGTGGTGATAGTAAATTAAACTACAGTGGACTCGATTATCTGAGTGTGGTTTATCTGATTTGTGGATTAACCACGCTCCTGAGATTTTGACATAAATTCATAGATCATGGATTTTACCTTATACCCACATTATTAATAAAAAAGTGATACATTGTTATTTTTGAAAATGTTTATTACAAGTCAAGTGCTTAAACCTAAAAAATATATTCCTTGGGTTAATCCGAAATCCATGTGATCGCCTCAACAGTACAGTAGTTACATATCTTTAAAAGTGGGTGGAGTTTGATGTTTATTGGCGTGGCTATGCTGTCCACTTAGTGGGCCGAGTCTTCTGAGCGGGAGCAGGAAAGTGTTATTGCTGAGCACGCACATCGATCGGTCAATTTCTCTGCTGCAAATGTTTTGTTTTGTTCATTAACAAACTACATGTTCTTAGCTTAAACATAATTTTTACCTATATTAGTGATTTTTTGCATAGAGATCCACGGAAAATGAATATTTTTGGATTATCCATGATTTTGAATGATCTGCGGCCTGTCCTCCCTGTCATTAGCGCGGATAATCGAGAGTCTACTGCAGTTTAATCAGAACGACTGTAGAAGTCGTAGGATCTGGTTGTTATCCAGAACCCTCGATAAGTGGAGGCAGTGCTACCAGTGGTGGTGTGCGCAAGCAATCGCAAGGCTGCATTTTTTACTTTCCTGTCCCCGACCCTCTACCCAGGTTCTGTGGCAGCTGCATCCCTGCTGCAGATGATGCCGCTTGGAGGAGCACGGAGCCATCAGTGAGAGCCGTCGGTCCCATGCCCTGAGACTCCTCAGACAGACGAGACGCAAACAATACATAGGTGGTGACAAAGTCCATTGGTGACAGACAACAGGGACACAAGGTGAAACGCGGGTACCGGCATACGAGTGGTGAAGTCAAGAGGACGAGGTTAGACACAGCAACGACAAAGATCCCCCCCCGTGTAACCCGAGCAGACTGTCGAGGCAAGTGCTGTAGCGAGTAGCAGCACCTTTTTTAGGGCCGGCACAGTTGCACACGAGTGGCTGAGTGGCCAACACCACGCCCGGCTGCCTTTGTCTACACACCACACCAGGTACTCATTTGAGACTGAGCCGACCTACGGGAGGCCCAGGACCAGTTCGGATAATCGTCACTGGTGTTGGTGGCTGTGAGTGGGACCGAACTCAGGTTGCTGGGTTCGTTGCACAGCGTAGCGCGAACCATTGCACGCCCGCTCCCCAAACACACACGTACAAAAACAAAGATCCCCCGTATAGCCTAAACAGACTGTACAAAACACGTACACGCACACGTTCACGCACACCCGGAATCCCCGCGCTACCGCAGCCATGCCATCCCGCGCCCCTCCCCCGGATACCGTGCGCAACAACCTCCGCATGGCACCGTCTCCCACACCGTCTCCCCCGCGCGCCATCTCCGACCTCCGCTACTTGGATATCGCCACCAGCGCCGACCCTCTGCCTCCACCTCCACTGCCTCTGCAGCCACCCGTGGGCGACGTCTTCAGCTGCTCCTCCGAGCCGGCGCCAGCGCCATCACTACCCGACATCAAACCGGTGCACCGCTTCATCCCCGACTCGGTCAAAACGTTCTTCAGCCGGCGTGGTCGGTCGCAGGGCCATCGGGGTCACCACGATGACGATGCCGGCACTGACGATGGTTCGAGGTCGCTGGCGCCAGTGCTCGCTTCATCCTCCGACTACTACCCCAGCAAGCGTGTCGGCGGCGACATGGCCGACGACAACAGGTGGCACGTCGGCGGTGCCAGCAGCGGCGGGGTCGACGGCGTCGGCATTGGCGGCGCCAGCAGCAGCGGGAAGGCCTCTGGGTTTAGCTACGGCACCCGGCGGGAGAAGGAAGGGCTGCTTCCCGACGGCGCCCACTACGATGGCATCTGGGAGGGGCCCTCGCTGTCCGGGATCCCCACGAGCACGTTCCAGACGTACAGCCAGCGCGAGGATGAGTACCGCGTGCGCTACGCCTATATGAAGTCGTGGCCAGGCCTCCTGCGCCTGCTGGGGGCAGTGCAGCTGCTGCTGGGCGCCATTGTGTTCGCCTGCGTCTGCGCCTACATCTACAAGGACAATGAGTGGTACAACTTCTACGGCTATGGGCGCCCCTCGGGCTCGCTCGGCATCGCTGGCGGGGCAGGCTCCTACTACGGCAACTACAACTACGACGGCCCCAAGACGCCTTTCGTGCTGGTGGTGGCCGGCCTGGCCTGGCTGGTTACCGTCATCCTGCTGGGCGTGGGCATGACCATGTACTATCGGGCCGTCCTGCTCGACGCGGACTGGTGGCCGGTGACAGAGGCGGCCATCAACGGGGCGCTATTCCTGCTGTACCTGTCGGCAGCTATTGTGTACGTGAACGACCTGAACCGGGGCGGGTTGTGCTCCTTCCAGTCGTACAACAACCCGTTGAGCGGGGTGTTCTGCAGGCAGGAGGGCGGACAGGTTGGGGCCACCATCTTCCTGTTCTGCAACACCATCGCCTACCTGGCGAGTACGGCTGTCGGGCTCAAGATGTGGCGACACGAGAACGCTCGCAAGAGGCGGGAGCGGGCGGGCGTGGAGGATTCGGAGGTGAGCATGTGTGTTTGTGTGTGTGAGGATCGCCGCCTTGCCGTGGTGGAGAAGCTTTTGTGTGTTCCCAAGAGTGATACCGTCTGCAGCTTAGCCACTCGGATAAGGTCAAGGGGGGGAAGCTTCCAAACAATGCACGATCCAACAACGATCTCAGCGGCGAAGCAGGCAGAAGATACTCTTTGGTTCTTTCGGTAAAGTCACGTAGGTATAAAATCAAATATATTAAATCACGACGTTTTAATTGTAAAACAAACAATCATCATCAGGTGGGAAAATCACAGCAAGAAAATGTTTTTCTGAAGTGGGAGAGAGATGCTGTGGTGAGAGGTTATATAGGTAAGAGAGGGGAGAGGGGCAAGGGAGGGGGGGGTAGGGAGGGGGCGTTGCATGGATGCTAAGACAGGGAAAGGGACGTGAAGCTGAACGGGGGGGGGGTGGGGGGAAGTGGGCGGGGCTGGAAGTGGAAGGCTGAGAGAGCTGGGGATGTGTGGGGAGGAGGATGCAACAACAACGACACTGCAGCAACAATGCCAATGAAGCCAACAATGCCACTGCAGCAGCAATGCCTGGCAAATATGATGGAACAACCATTAAGCATTTAAGGTTTTGCATGGTTAATAACATCCTTCCAATGATTGCTCAATTTGTATCCATCTTCTCGGTTGAAGTTATGTCTGTTTATATATCTGTATGGCTTCATGAACAAACCTTTGATAGTAGCCCGAAGGTTTGCAGAGCACCTTAGTCTCGGAAAATTTTCTTCTTGTGGTTTTCCCACCTGATGATGATTGCTTGTGTTGCAATCGAAACGTCGTGATTTAATTTATTTTATTTTATACCTACGTGACTTTACCGAAAGAACCAAAGAGTATGGATCCCTGCAGTCACGAAAACTTAAAATCTAGATTTAGGCAGAAGATGACGGCAAGTCACAACACTTGTGAAGGCGGAGGAAGGTTGCAGCAGAGAGAGGTCGCCAATTGTCGTGGCCTCCATGCCATTGGACCCCGATCCCTCTGTCAAGGACCGTGTGGTGGTGGCTGCCTGTGCATCGGTCTCCTCAAGTTAAGATGTTATGCGCAAGCATCCTCTTAAAAGGGAACAAACTCTTGCACATCCCAGATTTCAAGCCCTCTGGCGTTCAGCGAATGGTGGTGGGTGTTTAATGCGGTCGTCTGGCTCGTGGACAGAGGCACATGGAGCTTTTCGGCAGCTACACCCATTACTGAGCAGCCCTTTTTAGATCTGCTCTGCTCACCCCAGTAGGGGAAGGGGCTGGAATATGTGCCCTAAAATAGCCTGCATCATAACTCATAACTAGTTTACCACGTCCAGTGGGATCACCTTTTTACGGTCAGAAACAAATAAACATTTAATTTGGAGCCTGGAACGTGTGAACCCTAATGGACAGTGCAACCAGTAGTCGACCTGAGAGAAGAACTGCGATCATAGCAAGAGAACTGAGAAGATTTCGGATTGGCCTTGCTGCGCTCTCCACAACCCAACCGGCAGATGAAGGGAAACTGAAGGAGGAGAAAGGCAGCTACACCTTCTGGAAAGGTTAAACCAGCTGATGGACCCAGGCAACCATGGAGTTGGTTTCTCTATTAAGAACAGACTTGTCAACCACCTCTATGAAATCCCTGTGGGCATCGATGAACGCCTCATGACCATCCGTCTGAAGCTTGTAAACAACCAATTGGCCACAGATGTGAGTGCCTATACCCCAACCGTGGACCCACATGAGGAGGTAAGGGAGACCTTCCATGCCAACTTGGACATAATACTCTCAGGAAGACAAGATCATTCTTCTTGGGTATTTTAATGCCAGGGTCAGCCAGGACCACAACCTTTGGAGAGGCACGATTGGAAAGGAAGGTGTTGGCAATACCGACTCAAATGGAGTTCATCGAGCCAAATGTGCGGAACGTGACCTCATCATCACCAACACACTCTACTATCAGAAAAACGAATTCAAACCATCGTGGATGCATCCCCACTCCAAACTCTGGCATCTCATTGACTGTCATTGTCCGAGCCAATGGTTGTTGTGATTTGAACAGCTCATCGACACAAAATGAAGAACCTTTTGCACCTGCAGAATGACACAAACTACAAGGTGAAAAGTGAGGCTCACGCCAGAAGCGAAGGCAGATGGACAGGCAAAGAAGCCCTGGAGATCCAGCAGCTGGCAGACTCCGGAAATACTAGAGTCTTTTTCAATGCCACGAAGGCAGTATACGGACCCAGTTACCACGGCCTAAACTCCCTTGGCTCAAAAGATAGACAAAAGCTGCTGAAGGATGATGTATCAATCAAATGCCTGGTGGAGAGAACACTTCTTTAGAACTCAACTGAAGTACTGCTCGATGAGATGGAGGTCATCGACCAAATCCCTTAGCGACTCATAAAGGAGGACATGGAAGAACCACCCAACATGTAGGAGGTACAAGATGCCGTCGGGAAGATGATAAACAACAAGGCCGTTGGTCCTGATGGGATTTTAGCGGAAACCTTAAAGTAAGGCAGGTCAGAGCTCTTACACCACCCACATACATGCTCCTGCTCTTGAAGATCTGGCACAAGTAGGAAATCCCACACAGAACTCGGGGATACCCACTGATTGTTGCCATCTTTAATAAACTCCTTAAAAAAAGTTTAAAAAAACAACAGTTTTATGAACAACTTCGTTTACCTCACGGTCGAGAAGTACGTCAATGATGCGGCGCCTGCTCCCACATCAACGTTTACTTGAATTAATTACTTCCGTAACTCGCTCACACGGAGCAGGCGTGCCTGAGACACGTGGCGCCTGCTGCTTGGACCGCGGCGTTTTTCACCTACACAGATAAAAATATAAATAATAAGGCGTCCATACAAAATGTTAATTGCTTTAAAGTAGTGAATTAATAGATGAATTGATGCCGATTTTGATACAGGCATGCATTTTCACCGGATCATGTGCAAAATTTGGAATTTATTAGGCAACAGGAAGTCAACTAAATTTTGATTACAAGATTTGACCACGACAAACATAGGAGTAAAGTTAAGTAAAACCGTTGAAAAAGGTGAACAGGGCATATTGTGTAAACTACAGAAGCACCACCCTTCTGTCCACCACCGGGAAAATATTCTACCCACATACTGGCAAACCCGGCTCCTACCCCCTGTCTGAAGAAATCCTCCCAGAATCACAATGTGGCTTTCGACCATCCAGAGGCACAGCAGGTGTGATTTCCACTATACGATAAACTGCAAGAGAAATTCCGGTCTTCATAGACCTTACAAAAGCCTTTGAGTCGTGTGAACCGTCATGCCCTCTGACTAAGTCTGTCAAAAATCGGCTGCCCCTGACAAATTCACTAGGGTACTGCGACTGCTGCGTGACATGTCGGCAACATTGCTCAGTAACAGTGGTGCTCAAATGGAACTCTTCAAGGTGTAAACTGGAGTTAAACAGGGCTGCATCATTGTGCCCATCCTATTTGCAATCTTCATTGCTGCTATCTTCCAGCTCACAAGCCAAAATCTGCCTCTGAGTACATCAGCCGACTCTTCAACCTCAAGAGATTCCAGGCAAAGAGCAAAGTCTCCACCACTTCCATCATGGTGCTCCAGTATTCAGATTCCAATGCCATCACTGCCCACTCAGAAGAAGACCTGCAGTGCATCCTGGATGCCTTCACAAAGGCATATAAGCTCCTCGGTCTGGCACTTAACATAAAAAGATGCATATCCTAACCACCACGTGACAAGACAACACCGGCCCCAGGAATACATACCACCATCGAAAATGGGATCACGTTCCCTACCTTGTCAGCCTTCTCTCCTCCAAAGCCGACATCGACGCAGATTTCCACCACCGCCTGAGCTGGCAGTGGAGCATTTGCCAGACTGAGGAAAAGAGTCTTTGAAGATCAAGATATCCAGGTCAATTCTAAACTCCTCGTCTACAAAGCCGTAGTTATTCCCACCCCACTGTATACGTGGGCTGCAGAGGGCAGGGGCAACAACATAAGGAGATACTCCCCACCAAGAAGGCCCAACCATCGTCCACCACCACCATCGTGTAACCCTTGCCCACACTGCAGCAGAATCTGTGGGTGTTGGAACGGCCTCTTGAGCCATCTGAAGATCCACAAACAGGACCCACCAGGAGGACAATCCATACTCGAACCCGAGTGATTGCCGATGATGTGAGCTCATGTGAGTGTGCTTAAGTGCGGTACAGGTTGTGTGTGTGTGTAGGCCTTGGTACTTTGTGCTACAGGCTTTGTGTGAGTATATGCCTTGGTACTTGGTTCTACAGGTTGTGCTTGTGTGTGTGGCATACGTTGTGAGTGTGTTACATGTTGTTTGTGTGTGTAGGCTTTGATACTTTGTGCTACAGGCTTTGTGTGAGTGTGTGTAGGTCTTGGTACTTGGTGCTTCAGGTCGGGAGTGTGACAAGTGAGTGTGTGAGTGTGTTACAGGTTGTGTGTGTGTGTAGGCCTTGGTACTTGGTGGTTAGAGGCTGTGCATGTAAGTGGGGCAGGCTATGTGTGTGTGTGTGGGCCATGGTGGTGTGAGCACTACTGAATCTGGCGACCCAAGTTAGATTCCCACTCATAGCCAACACCAGTGACGATTATCTAAACCAGTACTGGGCCTCCCCTAGATCGATTCAGCCTCAAAATGAGTACCTGGTGTGGTGTTTAAATATTGCCACTTGGGAGACAAAGGCAGTCGGGCATGGTGCTGGCCAATCCACCTTCACGTGTGCCGTGCTGGCCTTCATAGGTTCTACTCGCTAACAGCACTTGCCCCAACAGTCTGTTAAAGGTTATACGGGGGTCCTTATCTTTGTGTGTGTGTACGCACGTGTCCCATCGCACACATGCACAACCTTTGTTATGTGTCTCCCTTGCTGCCTTCCGCAGATGCACAGCTACGATGCTCGGCCAGACAATCGCAGCGACCGCATCCACAGGGTGAGTGGGCGGCAGTGACTCAACTCCCCCCCCCCCCTCTGGCGCTGCCAAAAACATTACCAAGCTGCAGCATGTACACAATTCTTTAGCACGTGTTGTGACGGGTCCTGCAAGATCCGACACCGTGTCCGTCCAGTGTTCACTGCGCTGTATTGACTTATGGTTGTCGAACGAATACATTATGAGGCTGCGCTCATTACACACAAAGTGTTTGCCACAAATTAACCACAATACCATGCTGATCTCGGCAAGGAACATAAACCATCATCACGCGAACCCTGGTCATCCTCGCAGCGGTGGCTTTTGGCTAGCCATCGAACAAAGACAGTCACCGCATCGTGTTGCACTTGTGCGGCCGTGTGAAGCGTTCTTTCATCCGATATTAGAAAGCCACTGGAGTTATGCACTTTCAAATCATCTAGATTGACAAACGAATTTCTTTAAACCCGCTTTTTGTGTTTAGTTTGTTGTCCTTCCCCCTCACCTCACAGTTTGCTACGTACAGTGCGACAGAAGAAGCTCAATGTACGTACAGTATATACGTACATTGAAGGGTGTGTAGTAAACACCGGCACGGGATGGGGTGGGGGGAGGTGTGGTGCTGACCACCCACCTCCTCGCGCCCTGTGCCTGGCCTTTATAGGTGCTACCCGCTGCCAGCACTTGTCCCAATATTTTGATAAGGCTACACAGGTGATCTTTGTTGTCACAGAGCCATGACTTTGTCATTGGTCTTTATGTTGGTGCCCATGGGTGTATTCATGTGTGTGTCTATATCCATGTGTATATTTGTACCTGTGTATGTCTATGTGTGTCTCTCCTTGGGGAGCTGTAGTGTAGTGATTGGCGCACTGTATGTATGTGTGTCTGTGTCTGTGCATGTGTGTGTGTGTGTGCGTGTATGCTTCTGTGTGTGTGTGTGCCTGTCTGTGTGTGTGAGGGGAGCGGTAGTTTAACGGTTAGCGCGCTGCGTTTGAACCTGGCGACACGGGTTCCCGCTCATGGCCAACACCAGTGACGATTATCTGAACCAGTCCCGGGCCTCCCCTAGGTCGACTCAGCCTCAATTGAGTACCTGGTGTGGTGTGTAAACATCGTCACTAGGGAGACAAAGGCGGCCGGGCGTGGTGTTGGCCACCCACCCCCTCGTGTGCCGTGCCAGACTTCATAGGTGTTACTCGCTAACAGCACTTGCCCCAACAGTCTCTTAAAGGATATACGGGGGATCTATGTGTATCGGGAGTGGTAGCACAGTGGTTAGCGTGCTGTGCTATTGAACCCGGCGAACCGGATTCGGTTCTCGCTGGGGGCCAACATCAGTGACGAATATCTGAACCGGTCCTGGGCCTCGCCTAGGTCGGCCCAGCCTTAATGAGTCCCTGTTGTTGTGGTGTAGAAAAACATCAGCATTGGGAAGACAAAGATGGCGGGTCATGGTGCTGGCCACATGACCAACCCCCCTCGTGCGCCATGCCAGGCCGTCACGAAAAAAACGTATACGGGACCTCACGGTTAGCAACACAATTCCCTACGAATCCATCAGGCTGTACCATCCGAAGCTTTCCGGCCTCTGGCAGGGTCAACCGGGGTGGGGAGAGGGGTGAGTCGGTGTAGAGGGACGAGTGGCTAAACTCCGTGATGTCACAGCCGCTTGCGGATGAGTTGTTGCCCCACCTTCAGGCAGACTTATCCCACTGGGGTTAGCCAAGGTGTGCCGTATCTTATTATAATCGCCTACTATAATCTCCCAGAAATATCTGTCCGTCCCACGTGTGACGTCACTCCACATAAGGCCCACCCCCGCCATTAATATTCATGAGTGGGTGGATTTTTACACTAACGCAGAGGTAGGTTGAGTTGAATTAAATAATTTATTACGCAAAGTCGCTTCAAATATGATGTTTCTTTACAGAAAGTGACGGTAAAAAAAAAAAATATTCGCAGCACAGTGCTACATCCGTGCGTGACGTCACTGCAAAAGAGGCCCCCCCGATTAATATTCATGCCCGTGTCGAAATTTACACTAACGCACAAGAAGGTCGCGCACTCCACATGTCGCACCCCTCCCCTCATTAATAATCATGAGCTGAACAATTTCTCGATTGAATATTTCAGATTTACTGCAATATACACCCGTCTTTGGACGGGCAAAAAAGCTTGTTGTATTTTTATTTATGCAGCACTATAGATAGATAGCATTTATTTCTGTGAATTTATTATTTTAACTTGTATTTTTTAACCATAAAAATAATGGTAATACATCCAAAGTTCATTCTACTGAAACTGCATGTATCGAAAATTGGTGTCATCATTTATGTAGGTATGTTGAATTTCTTCCACATCGCACGTAGCCAACCGTGCTAATCGGAGGTGTGGGGGAAGGACAACAAACTAAACACAACAAGAAGCAGTTCTAAAGGAAATTGGTTTGTCAATCTAGATGATTTAAAATTGCATAGCTCCCAATAGCTTCTGAATATCGGATGGCAGAACGCTCCACACGGCCATAGAAACGCATCTGAAAGCGCCGAGCAATGCGGTGACCGTCTTTGTTCGAAGGCTGAGCCAAAAGCTACTGCTGCTGCGATGATGACCGCACAAGCAAACTCCATGGACTGTTGTCCGCGGACGATCATTGTACTCGACCTATAGGAATCCCAGATGAAGCTCGTGACGATGATGATGTACTGGGGGAAATGCTTTGGCCTGTGCGCTTGCACAGGGTGGGGCTGTGGAGTTGGACCACAGCCCAGCTCCCAAGCGGAGGCCTGAGATCCGGAATGGTCACATCCCATCGGGGCACATCCCCAAGCCTCTGGTGGTGCCGGACTACGTCGCGTGAGTTTCGCCTGTTTTCTGCTGCTGCCGCCAGCCCTCGATAGCACTTGGCGATTGTAATGGCACACACGATGAACACATAGTGACATGCACTCACGCATGTGGTTGATATTGAGATTAATTTGTTCATCTGTCAGTCTCAGCACCGTTTGACTGGTTAATAAACTAGTAACTAATTCACGCGTTTTGTTTACGTGACAAACCTTACTAATTGGCTGTCGGGTGGTGGTGGGTTTAACGACATTTATATTTACACGATATAACCCAACAAATACTTTATGGATAATTTCCATCCGTTTAATGTCATCTGGACGTGGGGGATAGAGCGGTCCCCCCTTTTGCGCAAAGCGCCGGTTTTCTCCAAGTACTTCGGTTTGCTCTTCCCACCTGCGCGATAATAAACACAACTTGTCAATAATTGGCTGAAAATATCTTATCCATAATACCGTTTTTTTTTTGGGTTAGATCGCGTAAATATAAATGTGTGTCGTTAATCCTGCCGCCACCACCCGACACAGCCAATTAGTAAGGTTTGTCACCTAAACAAAACGTGCGAATTAGTTACCCACAACAGCATTTACAATTACAGTAGACTCTCGATTATCCGCAAGTGGTTTATCCGATTTGTGGATTAACCATGCACCTGAGATTTTGACATCAAGTAATAACTCATGGATTTTTCCCTTAAGCTCAAATTAATAATCTAAAAGCAGTTATTCATTGTTATTCTTGTAAATTTGTATTAAAAGTCACGTGCTTAAACCGAAAAAATATATTGTTCCGGTTAACCCGAAATCCATGCGATCGTCTGTACAGTACAGTAGTTGCATATCTTTACAACAGTGGGTGGAGTTTGATGTTGATTGGCATGGCTCTGCTGTCCACTTAGTGGGCCGAGTCTTCTGCGCCAAAGCAGGAAAGTGTTATCACTGAGCAACTCAATTTTCTTAATTTTAACATAATGTGTATCTATATTCGTGTTTTTTGCCATAGCGATCCGCAGAAAACGGATATTTATGGATTATACGCGATTTTGAATTATCCGCGGTCGTCCTCCCCCTCAGTGCAGATAACCGAGAGGACTGTTTTTATATGTGTGTGTTGTTTTCCTTTCAAGGTGGATTTAATGACACACTTATATATTTACGCGCTCTAACCCAAAAAAAACCTCTTGTAAATAATTTCCATCTGTCTATTTCCAACTGTACGTGGGGGATAGAGCGTTGCCCCCTCACGTAAGGTGTTAGTTTCTGCTGGGTGCTCCGTTGTCCTCCCCCCATGGGGTTATAATAAACACCATTCGTCATGAATTTAGAATATTTATACATGAGAATCAAAATATTTACTTATACTGGAGGAATCTGATGATCTATAAAGCTCTTTCTCACATGTCCAATACGGGCATGGGGTCACATCTTGAAATAAAAATCCAATGCAGTGGCAGGACCCCTCCTGTTTGAGGGTTCTCGGACTCAGTGTGGCTCTACTGGATAAATAAGTACATTATTATTATCATATTATTCAGTTATCCCGAGATTTACGATACCAGTGCCGTGGTGGTTAGGAGATGTTAACTACCTCGCCTGGTACACAGGATGTTGTGGGTTCGATCCCGACTTTGACGCCTGCGTTATATTTGAAGTTTGCGTCTCTCCCTCTCCCAAGTGGTCGTGTTGATTTTTCTCTGGGCCCTCTTGTTTTTCCCCTCCACATTTAGAAGCAACGTCACTCGTTGAGAGTATTTGGCTGCTATACATTTCCAAGTGATGATAGAGATGATGAGCCACTTCGTTGAATTATCATTTGTGATGGCCAGGTCGCTTCTGAAAAAGAGCTACATAGCTCAGTGGGGCCTTACCTGGTAAAATATGACTATTGCTAATTGCAATAGTTTTTAAGAAGGGCACACAATTGTTGTCATCATATCTACCCCTCTATTTAAAGAACGAAACAGCAGGACTTATCCACAAATCTGGCTGTCGCCTGATGAAGCTAGTTGTAATTACTGGAGAAATGTCAAATTCAGATTGTAAATGTTGTGGCTTGCCTCCAACACAACGGTGTGTTGTACTAGTGATGAATTGGCATGTTCTGTTTACGTGACAAACCTGGCTAATTGGCTGTGTCGGGTGGTGGCAAGTTTAAGGACATATATTTACGCGATCAAAGCCAAAAAACCTGTGTGATGTAAAATAAAAACTAGTTTTAGTTTATGCAAGGGGTGCGTTCTTCAAACAATGTGGGTGAAACGAATTTTCGTATATCCGCTTTCCCATTAATTGAAAACTAAAACATTTGGGATGCGTTTCGGACAGTGATTCCAACTCTACTCCTAACCTAAAACTATAATATACACACACATCACTTTTTACCATGCAAAAATAATAATAAAGCGCATAAAATTGAAAAAGATTGAATGATAAGGAATTAAAAAAAACATTCTTTTAAGGGGGAACTCACCAAAAGATCTGCTGATACCGTGACGCTGTCACGGTTCACAATCAGAATCTTTATTTAGACTGACGGAGGAGTCTGATGAGCTTTGAAGCGATTTGTCTCGGATGTAAAGTAGCGGACGCATGACGCAGCTTCCCCGGTGGATTCTCATTTGATGACCTCGCGGCTCGTGCTGTGACATTTCGTTGCGGAATTCGATTTCGGAAATCGGAAAGTGTCCACGATTTGCCATTTGCAATTATTCGAAATTAACGTAAAGCAAACGTTCGTTCGTAAACCGAGCATTCGTTCGTGAACTGAGGAGAACCCCCTTGTGTGTTATAACCAATTGCGATTGTCGTGACTGGCTGTGCTCAGGAAGTCCCCGTGTCTGACGACTCGTGCCGCGTGACATTTCGTTAACGCTAAAAATGTGATTTTGTCAGTCGGAACGTTTCAACGATCGTCAATCGCGCTCACGCAAAGTTTTTTTAACCGAGGGACCGCCCCCGCACCCTGTACTATAACCGATCGCAATTGTCGTGCTGGCTGTGTTCAGGAAGTACCCGCCAATCGGCTCTGACGAGGAGCGCGACCGCTACAAGGCGGTGTTCACCGACCAGTACGCCGAATACCGGGAGCTGAGCGCCGAGCTGCATGCCGTGGCGCGCCGCTTCACCCAACTAGAGGGGCTCATCAAGCGGCTGCCTACCGAGTCGCACAGCCAGCAGGTGGAGCGGAAGGGCGCACAGGGAGGCCCACAGAGAGGCCCACAGAGAGGCCCACAGAGAAGCCCACAGAGAGGCCCACAGAGAGGCCCACAGAGAGGCCCACAGGGAGGCCCACAGAGAGGCCCACAGGGAGGCCCACAAGGAGGCCCACAGAGAGGCCCACAGGGAGGCCCACAGGGAGGCCCACAGAGAGGCCCACAGAGAGACCCACAGAGAGGCCCACAGAGAGGCCCACAGAGAGGCCCACAGGGAGGCCCACAGGGAGGCCCACAGGGAGGCCCACAGGGAGGCCCACAGGGAGGCCCACAGAGAGGCCCACAGAGAGGCCCACAGAGAGGCCCAAAGACTCGCACAGAGACCTACAGACATACAGACTCACACGGAGACCCACAGACTCGCAGAGGATCATAGACTCGCACTTAAGACTCAAGACTCGCACAGAGAGAGTCATACTCATACAGGGAGATCAACAGATTCACAGAGAGAGGCTCATAGATTCATCCAGAGATGCTTAGTGACTCATATAGAGACTCAGATTCACACAGGGGTTTACAGACTTCTACAGAGAGGTTCACAGACTCATACAGAGAAGTTCACAGACTCGCATATAAAGACTCGTAAAGACATGCTCATAGACTCACACAGAGACACGCAGGCTAGCATAGAGATACATCGACTCGCATAGACCCACGGACTATAGAAGATAGTGAGATGGTCGTGTAGTTTTTAGAGGGGGATGAGAAGGTGTTGAGCTGTAGAGGAGGAGGGTGAGGAGGTGGTGAGCTGTAGAGGAGGTGGTGAGCTGTAGAGGAGGGGGGTGAGGAGGTGGTGGTGGTGAGCTGTAGAGGAGAAAGGTGAGGAGGGTGAGGCGGTGGTGAGCTTTAGAGGAGGGGGGGATAAGGAGGTGTTGGTGAGCTGTAGAGGAGGGTGAGGAGGTGGTGAGCTGTCTGCTGACCCTGCCTGTCATGTCCCTGTAGGAGATGGAGCGAGTGGCGAACGTGTTCCAGGAGTACGAGAAGAAAAAGAATGTAAGTGCGCGCACTGTATGCACTAGACGCACTACCACTCTTGACACTACGTCCTGTACAGACGCTTGCAATAAATTATCTGCTGTGCCACACCCACAAAGGGGCGCCGCGGTGCCTACAGACATACAGATTCACACGGAGACCCACAGACTCAGATGTTAACTACCTCGCCTGGTATGCAGGAAGTCGTGGGTTCATTCCTGACCCTGACGATGCCTGCTGTATATTTGGCTTTTGCGGTGTCTCTCTCCCCGTGGTCGTGTGGATTTTTCTCCAGATTCTCCGGTTTTTCGTTCCACATTTAGAATCAACGTCATGCATTCAGAGTATTTGGCTGATGTAAATTTCCACTTGAATATAAGCCACTTCATTGGGCTGTCACTTGTCGCCAGGTCGCTTCTGAAAAAGAGCTAATAGCTTAATAGCTCAGTGGGCTTTACCTGTTAAATCAAATAGTTTAAATTTTGATTTAAAGCTTTCATGACTGCAGGGATTCATCTTCTTGGTTCTTTCGGTAAAGTCACGTAGAATGGAAATAATAAAATAATAAAAATAAAACATCGTGATAATTATTTTATTATGTTTTATTTTTATTCTTTTATTATTTCCATTCTACGTGACTTTACCGAAAGAACCAAGAAGATCAAATAGTTTAGTTTTCATATGGGTCTCGATGAGCATGGGGCATCTATGAGTCTCTGTGGGTTTCTGTGGGTCTCTGTGGTTCTATACGAGTCTCTGGATCTCTGTGAGTCTCTATGGATCTCTTTGAGTATGGGTCTGTATGGGTCGATAGGTGGTCTCTTGAGTGTGGAGAAACTTGCATTTCGATTATTTGCTGCTGATATAAATTTCCACTGAAACCAATTTGTAAGGCAATCATTTGTGATAGCTGGGTCACTTCTGACAAAGAGCTATATAGCTCAGTGGGGCTTTACCTGGTAAAGTAAAATAAAAAATATTTTTAGTTTTCACTGCATTGCACCACACCGAGGTGAGTGGTGCAATATCGGTGTTTCGCAAGGTTTGGTTCTGGGTCCCTGAGTCGTCGATCTATACAGGCAGTCCTCCCATAGCGCTCAGCATGCGTTCTTGGTAAATGGAGCGCTGTAGGAGGCCACTATAACACGCTTACAATGGAGATGCGTTACTGACAGCGCTTTAATTTCCTGATGAGCGATTTATATCATGGCTTAATCCAGATTCACATACTAATAACAATCCAATGAGGTGGTGTTGTCATTCACGTGTCGCTTGGGTCCTTCTCCCGCAGGACCCGGCGTTCCTGGAGAAGAAGGAGCGGTGCGAGTACCTCAAGGCCAAGCTGGCGCACATCAAGCAGCGCATCCAGGAGTACGACAAGGTCATGACCTGGAGGGACGACCTCTGATGGGGAGTCGCGAGGCTCCGGGACCCAGCTCGGCACCGGCGTAGCGAGTAGCCGAAACGGCCATATACAGTGACACACTGGAAACAGCACGCACACGCACATGTACTGGATGCAGCACACACACACACCGCCAACCCAACCAGCAAAACCGATACAACCTACATAGCCACGTACAGCAATACACACACAGCCAACACAACCAGCATAGTCAATATAACCTAGTGCGCACGGATTGCGGAGCGGCGCTCACAGTTAACACAGCACACAGGCAATGTTACTCAACTGGCAACACATTGCACCGCACACACAGAGTACACTCGGTAGACAGCAACATGCAGAGCTGCAGAGAGAGCAGCAGATGGCAGTGCTGCGCAGGGGTTGCAATGGCTCAAGAGCATCACTTAAAAGTTTAATAGAGCACAGGTTAACTCCGGTTTCCCTCTCACAAGGCAACAACCGAGCTCGTTACGATTGATGGATTGACAGACTAATTCTCAATGCTTGGCGGTGAATGCACCGAATTACGAGTTGGCGAATCTATTCTTGATGATGCCGCCAGTAGCTTTAACGGTTGAACGAGAGGAGAGGAGGAGGGGCGCCTGTTGGAAGGGACTCGGCGGAGTGCGTGAACCCAGGGTGGCACGGGGGTGAAAGTGATTAAATGAATGGGGCATGGTCGAGTGTATTTTTTTCTCCCAAAAGTATTGTATTAACAAGACGATTCCTGTACACACAGACGATTGTGGAGTGTTTTTTTGGGAAAAACTGGAAGTTGTGAATGAAAAGCAATGCGGCCAACCTTTGCCCTCTTGAGAAGTTGGTGCCCCCCCCCCCCCCCCCCCCGATTGAGATGCACGTAGCACGGGATGCGAAACAGGGGACAAGCGGTTGGGGGGGAAAAGCACGCAGAGTGAGGTGCACGGTGGCTGCTGTTTGAGAGACGACCGGGAGAATGGGTGGACCGTTGAGAGAGAGTGGTGTGACAGGGCAGGGCATGGCGGTTAAAAACTAACGACAGTGGCGGTGTAAATAACATCATCAACAACAACAAAAGTAGCACAGCAAACGTTCCGGTTAATAAAATATGCCGGGTCTCTGAGAGTTGCACTCACGGTTCACCAAAGTTTTCCAAGCAGATACAAACTTTCAAGAGAGAATTTTAAGCCTACATATTTGTTAAACTGTGATATAAGAAATACACTGTTTTCACATCAGGTACTTAGCAGGCAGTTGTACAGAGCATTCTAAGTGGATTGTAGAGAAAGCAGTGGGGCAGTTTAGAGTATCGTAGTAAAGTAGTACTGTACCGTACATACAGACTGGCAGGGTCCTGAAGCTCCCGTTCGCAACAACGACGGATCTACAAGAAGTCGGATGGCTGTCGGAAAAAATTTCCGGATATGGCGAAGGAAGATTTGTCTTGTCGTTTCTATGAGAACCGATGCCGGTTAATAGAAACATTCCAGATAGTAAAAGTGCCGGATAAACAGAAGCTTTTGCTATAATAATAATACACTTGTCATCTCGGCAAACCTCACCCAGTCTCAAGACTGTTATGCGGGGAAGGATGCTGCTGCCGCTGCGTCAGTATGTTCGGCACGTGAATTCCGTTGGCGTTTGAGAGGTTGGCTTCGAGTGGGAGTAATACGTGGAGAAATTTCCCTGAGAAATTCGCGGACTAATTCCCTGGAGAAATTCCTGAAGAAATACCGGGAGAAATTCCTGAAGAAATACCAGGATCAATTTCCATGGGTGCTGGAGCTTTCCCCGGCGAGGCTGCTGTGCGTGCGATCGAGAATCTGTTTGTGGTGGGTTTTTTTTAATAGCTGAAGATTTTCTTTTTTTAACATATACACGTTATTCGCCTTAACTCTTGCACACGTTCCGCGGGGGTGGTGGCGGAGGAGGCGAGCACGTACACCACTTTGCGTTGCTTTGTGTCTACTGTAGCCCTTGCTGGGTGTACGATGATGGGTCAGGACGCTGCACGTGAGCGTTGGTGGAGTGGCTCACCATAGCCACGAGTTGGAGCCAGCGGTCCCCGGCATCTCCGGATATGCCGGTTCAATCCCACTTTCCCGTGCTGCCAATTGATGGATGGGACATGTTTGATTCACAATCGCCGTACGTTGCGTTGGGGTTCAACCCGAACGGCCGGGGCCACTCGAGGCGCTGCCATTTGCTGCTGCGTTGACAATTCATCTTGTTGTCAGGTCGGGTTCAGGGGGGAGCGAATCATTCCAATTCCAGTGACTTGCATATCTTACTTCTTAAGCACTACATTCCATAATGATGTGCCATCAGGAAGAGCAGGTGGTGATGGGTGGGACACGTGCAGGATGGGCGACTGTACTGATGACGCAGTTTGTAGGCGCTGCGGGACGGATTTCTTCGTCGAATGGTTTGTAATTTCTTAAATAAAGAGAAAACTACAAGACCCCACCGCATGTGGAGATGAGTGATTTTAAATCTGCGCACATCATTAACAGGTTGGGTGGTCGAACTCTGGTTAACTGAAGGTTACCATTAGGTTATTTATAAATGTGTGAAATTATATTGTACGTGAGAGTCATTGGTGATAATCACGTATGATGAATCTGCCAATATAAAAATAACAGTTTCAATCAATATGGTAACCTAGATCGATATCAAAGGACCTTTCTAAACTCAATGATCGTAAGCAATGTTGGTTTCCAAGAGTAACCGGCGAGCGTGAACAAATTACTTCACGCATGCAGAGCGCCCGTTATTTAGCTAGTTAGGATACTTAACTAAATGGACAGGTGTTTAAAATATTGACGTTAATTTATATACTTATTTCTCAGAACCGTGTTGGGTCAGGCAAGGAGTTACAGTACTCGATTGAAACTAAATTCAACAAGGGGGTTACACAGTAGCCAGAAAAGGTTGAGAGTTTGCTGCTCTCGCGAACTGGAAGTGCAGAAGGAATGCATGGACTGTGAAGAAGGGCCATTGCCTGAAATGTCACCTGTTACATATTAATTTTAAGGCCACCGTGGTATTGACACGGAGGGTTAGCAAGACCAAATAATGTGTTCACTGATGAGATGCATGCAGTCCTCGACTTACTATCACCCGCACTTGGGATCACCCGCACTTACAATCACACGCACTTGTGAACCAGCATTCCATGAAATATTAATTATTTTCTACGTCGACTTAAAACGCACTTGCGAATTCAACCGTGGAACTATTTTGTTCAGCTGAGCGATCCTCCACAAAATGTAAATGAGACGGCCTCACGCTGGGAGGGAATGTGGGAATTTAAATATGCACCGTGGTAGTGAGATGTTAACTACCTCGCCCAGTCTACAGGAGGTCGTGGATTTGATCCCGACCCTGACGCCTGTATATTTGGCGTTTGCATGTTATCCCTGGAGTCGCATGGATTTTTCTCCGGGCTCTCCACTTTTTCCCTTCACATGTAGAAACATGCGCTTAGAGCAGGGGTCCTCAAACTACGGCCCGCGGGCCACATGCGGCCCGCCGAGGACATTTATCCGGCCCGCCGGGTGTTTTTGCCGCCGCTGCCTGTCTGTTACTTTTTTTCTGCATGAGAAGGACGGTCATTGGTGGAAGAGGGAGAGGGGGCGGAGTTCCCCCCAATCAGACTGCATTGATGGGCAGTACAGTCTGTACAGTATGTCTCTGTGCGGGCAAAGTTATTGCTGGTATATTGTTTTTGTAGCGCTGTATATATATTGGTATTTTACTAATATCAATTTTGACTCCCTAGGAAACAATGATGTCAAGAAAGATAAAAATGCACTCGGAGTGTAGGATATTCAAAGAACAGTGGACTTATGATTACTTTTTCATGCAGTACAAGGAAAGAGCTGTGTGTCTGATATGCCAGAATATAGTGTCTGTGTTCAAAGAATACAATTTACGTCGACACTATGAAACTCAACATAAAGATAAATATGATTGTTTGGTCGGAGAAGTGAGAAAAGATAAAATACATTAACAACTCAGCAAAATACTTTTGTGAAGCAGAAGCAGCTAAATATTTCATCACTGCGAGCAAGTTTTCAAGTTGCCAAGCTAATAGCGTGCACTGGCAGACCATTCGTGGAGGGAGAATTTGTTAAAGAATGCCTTCTTTCTGTTGCCAAAGAGATGTATCCAGAGAAGGCCGATTTATTTAGTACAGTGAGTCTTTCAGGACCTACAATTACACGGAGGATTGAAGAAATGGGAGACAATTTGCATCAGCATTTGCAAAACTCCACAAAAAAACTTTCCTATTTTTCGTTGGCACTCGACGAAAGCAATGATGTTCGTGATTCTGCACAACTTTTAATTTTTATTCGTGGGACGAATGACTATTTCGAAGTCACAGAAGAGCTTGCTGCACTGCAAAGCATCAAAGGAACAACTACAGGAGAGGATATCTATGAAAAGGTTTGCCAAACTGTGAATGGTTTGGAGCTGAACTGGGCTAAACTAGCCAGTGTGACAACTGATGGTGCTCCTAGCATGGTGGGGTCTAAGAAAGGAGTAATTGCTCGCATTAACCAAGAGATGGACAAACATAACCATTCTCATCCAATAGCCATACACTGCCTCATCCACCAACAAGCGCTGTGTAGTAAATCACTGAAGTGGGACTCTGTTATGAAAATTGTGGTATCTTGTGTTAACTTCATTAGAGCTCATGCACTAAACCACAGACAATTTCAGGAATTTCTGTCTGAGCTAAATGTTGACTATGAAGATGTTCTGTACCACACAGAAGTCCGTTGGCTGAGTCGAGGGAGAGTTTTGAAACCTTTCTATGACTTACTTCCACAGATTACAGCTTTTCTGCTTTCAAAAAACAAAGAAGTACCAGAGCTCAATGATGCAGAATGGAAATGGCACCTTGCCTTTATGACAGATGTAACAGAGCTACTCAACAGTTTCAATGTGCAACTTCAAGAAAAGGGGAAGCTCATCTGTGATATGCAATCACATGTCAAAGCATTTGAAGTAAAATTAGGTCTCCTCATCAAACAAGTGAAGGAGGAAAACTTCTGCCATCTCCCCACAACTCAAAATCTGTTAGCAGAAAAACCATTGGTTGCATTCCCAAACAAAACATGTGTGGATTCATTGGAAAAATTGCAAAAGGAGTTCCAATTTAGATTTAAAGAGCTTCATCTCCATGAACAGGACATACAGCTTTTCCGTAACCCATTTTCTATTGACATTGAAAATGTGGATACAATTTACCAAATGGAACTGGCTGAACTGCAGAATTGTGACTCTCTGAAAGACGCATTCAAGTCAAGCAGCCTTCATAATTTCTATGCATCTCTCCCCTCTGAGACATATCCTCATCTCAGGAACCATGCACTCAAAATGGCAACCATCTTTGGCAGCACTTATGTCTGTGAACAGACTTGTACCAGAATGAAACATTGGAAATCTCCAACCAGATCTAGACTAACGGATACACACTTGCATCACTTGTTACGACTAGCAGTGACAAATATGGAACCGGACATTGACCATCTCAGCCAAAAGCAGGCCCATAGTTCCCATTGAAATACTGGAAAGTTTGTTGATTTAACTTTACTTGTTCTTCATTTTAAATATTGTATTTGTTCCCGTTTTGTTTCTTCACTTCAAAATAAGATATATGCAGTGTGCATAAGAATTTGTTCATAGTTTTTTTAACTATAGTCCGGCCCTCCAACGGTCTGAGGGACAGTGAACTGGCCCCCTGTTTAAAAAGTTTGAGGACCCCTGGCTTAGAGTATTTGGCTGCTAACATTTACATATGATATGCGACTCATTGAGCTATCATTTGTCGCATATAAAAAAAGAGCGAAATTGCTCAGTGGGCTTAACCTGGTAAAATAGAAATTTACACTACATTGTTTTCCGATTAACGAGCCGTACGACTTACGAACGGGTCCCAGGGACGAATAATGTTCGTAAATCGAGGACGCCCTGTAATTGGTGTTCCTCTGTTTTAATTGGTATGGGGTTTAGACGAGGAGTTGTGGCGCGGTGGCCAGCACACGGCTACGAACCTGGCCACTCCGGGTTTGATTCCCGCTCACTGCCAACGTCGGTGCAGAGTAACATCAGAACCGGACGGCATTAGACAATGTTACATTTGACATTGTTACCTCAACTATCGCGATTCGGGTTGGTTTAAAATAATCGTTTAACTTTCATAACATTGTAAAAATGAATGGTTACTTGAATTTATTTTACCAGGTAAAGCCAACTGAGCTCTTAGCTTGTTTTTTCACAAGAGACTGGCCACAAATAATAGCTCAACTTAGTGGCTTGTCATCACGTGGAAATGTATAGCAGCAGCTATGCAATTTCCAAAATCCACGCGACCATGGGGAGAACTTGGAAACTCCAAATATACAGCAGCAGCAGCAGGCGGTCCGGGTCGTGATGGAACCCACGACCTCCTGCATACCAGGCGAGGGAGAAAACATCTCGCCACCACAGGAGAAGGAATCCGATTAGCTATAAATCTCTTTTTCACATGTCCAGTAGGGGCCTTATCAAAACGTGACATCAACAAACAATAAAAAACGATCACAGTGCAAAGTTGAGGAAAGGTAAACAATTAACTTTTTTTAAAAATACAAATAAAAACAAACTTTTTTATTTTACCAGCTACTGTATATATATCGGCCTCTGGTTGCTGCTGTGGCCACGTGGAACCCATACGCACGCCTTTAATCGGAATATTCCTTCACACGCGATGATCGTGAATGGCATCGATATGAAGCGAGACGCGGGTCCACTTCTGCCATGCCCGGTGGGGGCGTCATCACAAGTTACGAGAGTATGACGTCACCGCGAGGTATGCCATGACGCAATCGCTTGTCAAATTACCCGAGCCGGACGCGACGTCGTTAACGCGACTCCGCCAATGAGTACCGGCGGGTGACGTCACCACAACGCGGCGACCAGACATTCGCTTCCGGGGTAAGATGGCTGCGCCCGTTGCGCACGTGGCCCCCCGTTGCACGCCACTCTGCTGTCCCCACCGCGGTCTCTCTCGCGGCTCTCCCCGCGGTCCCCCTCCCGCGGTCCCGCTGTCTCCCGCCGTCCCCACCCCCGCGCTGTCTCCCGCCGTCCCGCTGTCTTTCTTCCCCGCGCGCGAGCGTGAAGTTTGCAAGGGACGGCCCCTTGAGCGGCGTGGATCCCAGCAACGCGCGCTGTGTAATAGTGCAGGGCGCGTGTTGGCTGTGTACAGGGTGCGTGTTGGCTGTACATGTGTGTGCATGCTGTCTTTACAGGCGGTGTGTTGGCTGCGTGCTGTCTGTACCGGCCGTGTGCATGCTGTGTGTACAGACTGTGTTGTGTGTGTAGGCTGTGTATGTGCTGTGTGTACAGGCTGTGCTGTGTGTACAGGCTGTGTGCGTGCTGTGTGTACAGGCTGTGTGCGTGCTGTGTATA